CTGAGCTTTCTTCTTCACCATAGGGAGGAGACTGCAGTGGGGTTTGGGCGATGGCTGAGGTCCTGATGCAACTTCCCGCTGTTTCTCTCACTCTCTCTCTCTCTCTCTTGTTTACTTTGGCCCATCTGTTGTCTTCTTTTTGCACTTAATTTTCACTTCACAGTTGTAGCTCTTCAGTGGGTTTACAGTTGTTTTTCTTTTTTCAAATAAACCATAACAAACATTATCATCAAAAAATATCAAGTTAATGATATCTGACACAAACAAATCAAATTTGTATCCATCTTAGAAGATCAAGTCAACAATGCAGTGTCTAGACATGCACTTGACCTGCTTCTAAACTCAGGGACAAATGATGAAACCAGAAAGTCAATTTTACAGTGATAAACAACAACAAACATCTTTTCCAGATATCAAATCACTAAAATGTTTCTCTTATAAATTTCTAATTGTGATACAAATTTGTTGTCTTTTTCTCTATAAATACATAAACGTGTTCTTATTTTCATAGTATATATTTATTATTATCATGCAGACAAATTAAAAAGACAACATTGTGCAAAACGTGGCAATCCTCAAAGCAAATCTGAAAACAATACTAGTGATACTATACAATGCATTTGATGCTGCAGCAATGAATTCTGACTCTGCTTAAGAGATGTACAGCCTGTTCTCTTCATTGCAAGGGGCTGATGTGGGAATACTGCATACTGCATCTTTAATGTGTACTTCAAATACTTTTCAAACGAAGCCAGCGAACTCGAAGGAACATCTAAGGCTTTAGTGTGAATGAGCACCAGAGAGTGTGGCTTTCTCATAAAGACAGCTGTGACGAGTTTGCTGATTACCGGTTTTTCTGTTTAAACTTTTGGGTTCTTTGTGGGCTGTGCTGTTCTTTAAAGAGGCTCTATAAGTCACTGTGCTGCCATGTTGGATCTCATTATTCTTTAGCACAAAAGAAGATCTGAGTCGCAGCTATAGTTTACATCCCTGTTCCTGTGAGGACATTATCCCTTTTTGGAATCACGTTTCCATCCATAGTGGGATTGACTGTTGCAGAGAATCAAAAAAGTATAATCACGCAGCTCTTTTAGCATGTGAGACTCAAGTCCATGATTACTTTTCCCATCATTTAGAGAGTTGCTTGCATTCAGTTCTTCTTTAAAGGGGACATACTTTATAAGCTTTTAATTATTATTTAATTATTACTGTAGTATCCCCTTATTCCCTTCCATCATTAGCTTGCTCAAGGGTGTGTTTTGATTGATTCATGTATTAGTTATCTTGTATTGTCCTGCATCTGAGGTTTGAGCACCCAGAAAATTTCTGTTTTCACCTACCCCATATCTCCGCCCACTAGGGCTGAGTATCATTGAGAAGTTGCCGATACAATACATACATAGGCTACTCGATACATAGGCTACAATACGATACATATCTCGATACAGTGCACTTTCGATTCAATACGATATATTTCAAATTGATTTGATACGATTCACTAAAAAATAAAGGCTAATTTATGACTGTGATTATAAAAATCTTTGTTAAAACACTTCTTCTGCAAAGTGAATATGAAACATTTTAATCATCAAAACAGTGAAAATGTCAAATGCGTCGCATAAACGAGTTTCCTTCAACTAAAAAAGCAACAAAACCGTAGCTGGAACAAAAAAAATTTGCGTTCATTAAAAAAAAAAAAATCTGTGTTTAACATGTTGGGTTCAGAAGTGTAACTTAGCAATTTTTCAACAATAAAGAGGCCAAAAAAATTTATTAATATGGTGAAATGTGCTATGAAGAGGTGGGGCCTATCAGTTCTGCAAAATATTACAAAACAGTAAATCATAATATAAGTATGTAGTTAAATGCAGTTAGTTGGCGCTAAATAGCTGAAAAAAGCATAATGTCTTTTTTAAAAGGGCCCCTGAGTCTGTCTTGGCACATGAATAGCTTTTCCGGTGCCCTGTGACTAAGAGGATAGTGTTGAACCCCACAATGGAAATAAGAGGAACTCATAATTGCTGTATTGAGTTGGAACTAAACCTAAACATACTTTCTATATTCCTTCATAGACTTCTACTTCTTGCTTCAGCTTCAGTATGTTGACAACTTTATAGTCAGTCTTAGTTTACCATTGTGTGGAGGTCATACTTTGAGAGTTCAGGCTTTTCATTCACATTGTATTGAATAAGGCATTCACAGCAAGTTCACAAAGTCACGTAAGTACTGTCTGATAATTCAATGCCATTCTGTAGACACCTTTGTATCCAAGTTTGAGCTGGTATTTATTGTAACAGCAAGTATCTTCTAATATGAAAAAATACTTAATCTTATATTATATGCAGTGATTTTTTTTCGTCAGACTTTATGCCTTTGCACTCTTCTGTTTCATAAGTAGGTATTTAAATGTCTATGTGAAAAATAATAGTGTTTTGTAGGAGGCATTGAAAGCTCTTTAGTTAGTGTTTGGATAATCCCCATGGACAGGTAACAAATAAACTTGCATTCTGTCTCCACTCTTCTCTCTCTATTGAAGTTATAAGTCACTTTTCTATTACTTTATGAGTGAGGAGGTGCAGTTCTGGCCCTCTAGAGTCCTCTATAATATTCTCACTACAATATCACTGCTAATGTTTCTATACCGCTTTTATGGTAATATGCAGATTTATGTCTAGAATTATGGATGTTCCGCGGTAGGGCATTAAACTTGTCTGTCTTGATGGATTCTTACTGTGAGTGGGATATCCTCTCCACAGATCAGACCTGTAAATTGGCCTGCTTATTAATGCCATATGGTGGAATAGTCCGGATAAAGCAATGGCATGTTCATGGAGACACAAAAAGTTACATGGTGCACATTTAAATATGTAGCATTTATGTTCTGTATTATTACATACTGTATAGTTGTACCATGGGGCTGTTCTACATTTCTCTGCTTAAAAATGTATTATTTTTTGCACTTTACTTTTTATTATTGTATATTCAACCACTACATAGACATTTAGCTGTATTTAGCTTTTAATTATTTTGGTGCAATGCTGTGCTACTGTCAAAAATGAAAAACACCTCGACATTGAATAGTCCCAAATGCAAATGGGAGCTGCACAATGAAAATTGCTGAAAATCTCCAGGTCCTCTGCTTCTTAAAATGTTCCACAAAAATATTGCACAGAGGTGAGAAGACTGGTACATGAAAGTATTTTGAAACAAAAACAAAAATCAATCCAATTATTTTCTAGGTTCAAATGGTCAAAATTACAGATAACCACAGGTTTTTGAATAATGGATATAATGGTTTCCATCATAAAAGCCCCCACAAAAATATATTTATTTGAATGATTAATTGCCCTTTATTACGCAAAATTGACTCTTGTTAACTAAGCCATGTTATAATGCTGTTATCGTGCCATTACATTTTGCACAATAGAGATGATTCTAGTGAAGGGTGTGTGGAATTTAAAAACACAGTGGAGCACTTCCTGTATTACCAAATGACATCACAAGGTGGAACAGAGTGCCTTCTGTTTGAGAGGAGAACTCAGCCTAAATATGCAGGATTTGTATGTTAAACATGTGTGAATGAAACAAAACACAACTCTAGTTATATTTGTGATGACAAATTAATAGAGCATAGATCAGAAAATAGCGTAATATGGTTCCTTTAAGATTTGTTTATTTTGGCAACAAAAAAATTAGTTTTAGCATTATCCTAGTTTAGTTTATTTAATTAGTGATTTACTAAATTTTAAGCTCCTGTGTTGTTAAATATCATTATTGTTTTGGTCTAGTCTAGGTTAAACTGGAAGAATTATTGGCTGTCTTAATTGAACATCAAGCATCGTCCATCTCACCTCTGCATATTAAGTTACATTTTGTGCATTCTTTCCCTGTACAGTTTTCAGCCCCACATCTGTCAAACCGACCTGAGTTACGTCTGTTCCTGTCAGAGCTGTCTGTACATTGTAAACAGCCCACTCCTCCTTCACTGCAGACAGTAGAAAATATGACTGTGCCCCCTCCACATCCTCTGCCTGTATCGGAGCCAAAACTCACTCATCAAAGTACTCAGTGCCGCTAATGGCCTAACCTCTCATTTTTCACCTCTGTCTGATTGTCTCGCAGGTCGTAAAACGCGCCCAGCACCAGCCAAATATTTTTACAGCTTTGTCGACTCTCGAAGCATCTTCTTGTTTTGCTTCCAGCTCGTATCACTGTTGAGTGCTTTATTTATTCCTACTGCAATAAACTTCTCACTCATAATAATAACATTGGATTAGAATACATCACATGGAGCAGTACAGCAGTGCCTGGTTCTGTAATGACTATGACCGATCTATGTAGATTGCAAGTGGTTAAAATGTTAAAGATATGCAATCTTTAGTATATTCTAGTCATAAATCCCACAAATTTTATCTGAAGTTTTATAGTGAGACATTGTAATTCATTTAGAACATGTTTTAAGTATTAGGTTATCTCCCGTGAAATGTTATTGCTTATTGTTTTGCCTGAAATGTTCTGCAATATGGCGTTATGTGTGTATGTTTTGTGTTTGTTACTGTGAGCTTGATTGCCTCTTTCAAATCTGACTTAGCCTGCTTGCATAGATGAGTTAAGCACCATACTGTGGGACATTCCAGGCAAACCAATTACCTTGTGAATAGTATACAGCTGGAATTTTATTTGTATTTACACCAGGTGCCCTCCCAGTCCCAGCCAGCCATGCACTGTAACATGAGCATCATAGTGTCTTGCCCTATGACACAACATAACATGGGCATGGCACTATTGTTTTAGAACTGCAGAACGTTTATCTGTATTCAGTGTCTTATGTCTTGTGCTCCATTTTCACAATGCTGTTGGGTAACCGTATCCCACTCTCAACTTTACTTGTTCCTTAAACTCATAAAGCAGATTAAGGCTTATATAGGAAATTTAACAACCCTTCCTCAAAAGTTTTTTTATCTAGATTTTATTCATTTTGTTCTCTTCTTTTTACACAGGTTTTGTATGCAGAAGAGTGCCAAGCTGGTGCCAGGGGTGACGTTAGACCTTATTGAGAAGTAAGTGCCACCTACAACAACATATGAAAATCATACAGCCAACTCCCATCTGAAATAGTAGCCCTTTAGAGACTCTGCTCCCTTCTGCCTCTCCCATCTCCCCACTTCTTATTGCCAGCCCTCCTTACTTAGTTCACTCGTTTTTTCCATCCTGCAGGTATAATTCTCCGGCTTTGTTTTCCCCACACAGCCAAAGCGCCGGTAGTTTGGCAGATTTAGGGGCGCACATTTCTTCAATAAAACCTCCAGGTGCCCAGCGTTGCCGTGCAGAACATCTCTCGCTCTCGGGCACAGACTTTGAGATTGATATTGGAGCTGGGCTTGGATGCTGTAGCCAAAGTTTGGGTTTCAGCTGCAGTGACTGGACTGTGATGGGTAGCTTTCATTTTCCTCTCCTTAAATGTGAGCAAGGGTAAAATGACATTCATATTAAGTGGCTAGCAGATTTTTTTTCCATATATTTGAGCTCAATTTATCTTGCCCCAGTACAAATATATTGTATACGGAGTTCTTAAGGTCCTGAGAATCAGGAAGTGTGGCATTAACATTGTAGTTATGAAATGGGAAAACTTTAATGGTGCATTATGTAACATTTCGGTTTGGGTCCATCACTTTCTTTTTCCTATGGATGTGTCATAGCTCTGCTTCAAACATTCTAACATTAAACAGATCTACCTTACATTTATTAAATTACAGGTGGCTTTATTGCTCTAAAATGCTCAACAACAGAAAGCATTCTGACTGTGAGTGGAGTTCCACAGATCTGACCAGTAACTTTACCTGGTTTGGTCTCCTTGGTAATAGAGGTTTAAAGCCACATTGTGAAACATTTCTGACAAAGCAATAGGATCTCCGTGGAGAAAAGTATTTGACAGACCCTCCACCAGAAAAGTTACACCGTGCACCTTTAAAGTTTTGAAAAGCTCTTATCTCGTTGTGATAAATAAGTAGTATATTTGGAATGCATTCGGTAAGTGAATAATACGTTTGGTTTACTGCAAACCATTTAAAATTAACTAGTTCTGGTTATCACATTTTTAAGACAGTAAAAATCAATTAGTACAGTGCCTTTAACTTTCCACAGAGTTGGAGTGACAACAATTAAATAGTTGTAGCAAATAGAAGTATTCTTTGACTCAAAATGGTAAAAAGGAATTCACCAGAGCTAGCCTCAACCTTCAAACACTAAGAAACTGCCAGAGAGTAGGTATAATGCTTTAAGCTATTTCTTTAAACTTCAACCACCAAAAGAAAACCAGTGGAAATTATTATTAGCTGAGAGCTGCAGATAGCACATTTCTTATCACCTGTCAATCGGTAGAAAATAGAATTCTAAGAAATTGTCTGCGTTAGATGTGTCACTTTCTGCAATAAATATGGGAGGGAAAAATAATCACTGACCTGGGAGGGCGCCTTTAAAAATAAGTAATAATAAGCCATCTGCAAGTTTTGATTTTAAAATTAAACTTGTTATGAAGCTAACTCCAAGTGGAAGCAGATAAAAATTAAACTATATCCTTAAAGGAAGAAGCCAGAACTCTTGATTTAATGTATAGTGTTACAATGTGTAAATGTGATATATCAAAAATAATTTAAATCTTCAAGTTGTATGTATATTAGTCTCTCCAGTAATAAATTTAAATAATCGTATATGAATGTTTTTATTTTCTTCAGTTATGATTTACTGCAGATTTTTTACATCAGATTTTTGTTGTCTATTCTTTAAAAATATCTAATTACTTTAACTTCAAATTATAAATGAGTTATTACATCCTGACAATTATTCTTAGTTGATAATTTTGACTTTTTTTTTAACTCTTACTTGTAATTTCATCTACCACTTTGTACTTCTAGTGGAGTAATAATTTTTTTGACGTAAGGGTTACTTCAGGCTGGATTGACTTAAACCACTTCATGACTCTTCTTTTCATAGTAGAATCAAAAACATGCTGTGGAGTATATTTCATCACCTTATCATTTTTTTGCACCTGAGCCCCACACAAGCGTTAACTCAGTGTAGGCTTGTTTTTCTGTTTATTTTTCTGTCCAGGCCCCACATCTCTGGCTCTCCAGGCCATTGTAGTACAACTCATACAGTAATAAGACTTTCTCAACCAGATACTCTCGGTCGCCTAGCAACACAGAAGACACAAGACACACCATTTGGTTACCTTTTTATCTTTTTCAGAATGATTTTTATACCACACATCTTATACTATTACCATGTCACTATTAGACACTGATTATGTTGACACAAATACATGTATACATAAGGACAAAACTAAGGATAAACAAGAACTAGACCTTGGGTATGTTCATAACTTGGTTTGGCCCTGGTTTGAACACAGTTTAGACTGGGTTTGGTCTTGTTTTATCCTTAGTTTAGGTTTGGGCTAGTTTAGTTCTAATTTTGATATGTTGTGAGTGCAAGTGTGAACATACCTTTGGACTAATACACAACTCAATAAAGCCAGATCTAAGTATACTACCAAATCTTAACAAAGAATGAATATAGAGCAACAAGGAATTAATGGCGCCAAACCAGGACTAAAGCAGGACTTTACCCCTGTATCCTGTTAAAATTTACAAGAACTCAGAAAACCTCAGAAGTCAACCCTGATTCAGGTTTAAACAAGGACATTACTAGGTGTAGGTAAGGGCCAAGTCTATTCAAGATCTAAACCCGGTCTTATTCTGTAAAAATAAACAAAAAACTTCTAAACCAGGACTTAAACAAGACTACACAGAATAATAATATATTTTGACTCAAATAAAGCAGTGCATAGTTCTTAGTTTTTAGTACCTAGACTTAAGCCCAGGATTTAATCAAGAACTAAGCCAGGACATGACAAGGGCCAAGCAAAACAAAGCTAAAACTAGGACTAAACCACAAAACAACATGTATCTTTGACCAGTTCTGGATTGAGTTGTACAGAAAGGGAATATGTCACTAGGACCTGCTAAGAATTTGATTAGGACTTTCCAGGATCTATCCCAGGACTATCCCAGGATTATCCCAGGACTATGCCAGGACTGCGCCTAGACTACTTCAGGACTACTTCAGGACTACAACAGACTTGATTAATTAACTACAACTAAATCACCGCTCCTGAGCTCCACCAATTAAAACACAGGTACCACATGTTTAGAAACACAGCTTTAAAAATCCATATCGGGACCATATTGCATCCTGCTGTTGAAATGCACATACTAATCATGCACCATACACCTATATGTGTGCTGTTGATGTGTTTATTAATTTGTGCTCTCCTCTGTTTCTGCTCCATCTGCGCGCCCTTCTGTCTCTGCCTCCCACAAACGTCCAACACACTTTCTGTAAATATCACAATGCCTTTAAGAGCGCTGAGCTGCACAATCCCTTTAAGAGAGAGTCACGAATCAACTGCAGTTCTGGATTTACCTGTCCCACACCCACTACCCACGGGCAAACTCAAAATATTTAATGTTTAATGTATTTTCAGTGGCGGTAAGGGATTTGTTAAAATGATGTAATGATTGCATAACAAGTCGTGTTTGCTTTCACCTGGAGAAATACATTGGTTTCTTTAAGCTATTCTGCTATAAAGACAGTGTTGTGCATGTTCTGAACAAATTGAAAGGGACATTTCTGGGAGGGCATCTGGCTTAAAAACCTATGAGTCCTCTTGATGTGCTGCACTGACTGATTTTCAGTGTCAAAACCAAAAGGAAAAGATAAAAGTAAAGAAGAACATGAAGATAGTTATGGAATATATTTCTTTAGGTACGTGGTTATATAACAAATTGATTGAAGTGTTGTAAGATGCATTAAGTCATGGGAATTAAACTATTACTGCAGATACACCAAGTCAATATTATAATTCAAACTGTCTTTAAATTGAAACAAGTCTCACAAGTACATTAAATCAATATACTGTTTAGTCATAAGATTTTCATTCATGTAGGTTACCTTTATGGTTACATGGACTAATGCCATCCCAGCTACTTTGAGCTTGAGGTGCCATACTATTGGTAAATACGATTTATTTAGTTAACAAGCCAAGCTATTTGGATTCTTCACTTCACTTAACACATGCATGACTTGTGTAAGACTTCAGTCAATATATTTATCCCATAGACTGCATATATAAATGGACATAGCTAGCTTACTAACCACTGCGTTCCAAATAGGAAGTGAGCATGGGGACTCTTCTGGCTCTCCTTACACTGGCTCCAGTTGACTTTACATTGAAAAACGTTCACACCTCTCTCTGTAACTGCTGCAATGAGTCTCATCATTTTGGTCTTAAAGATTGCGTATTAACCTGTTCTGCATGATTGTGTAAATAAATCCTCTTCCTAATATGAAACTCTGGTCCAAATTTGCTCCCATAACTGCTAGCCTCGTGAGCTTCATTTGACTAGAGCCTTATGCAGTGGGTGACATCACACTCATTTAGTCCACTTATTTATACTAATAATTGTTTCCAAAGAAGAGCTGTACACACTCCTCTCAGTCAAAGCTCCCCTCTCCACTGCTCTTGCCCTTTAATCCTGCATGGGGCGGACATAAGACTCGTGGGTTGATCCTTTTTCAGTGAGTTCTTTAATAGACACCGTCCCCTACCGTTTGACTGCTCAGCTGCCTGGGAATCTGACACTGTCTGTAGCCCCACTGAGTCCAACCTGCTGGCTTATCCAAGAGTTAAGCTCTTTTATTCAGAGTGCCACTGCGATGGCATCCCACTCTATTTTGACTTTATTGATTTACAAAAAAATGTTACTCAGACATGTCAGGAGAGGACTTGGAGTCAGCTTCGGCTAGGGAAGAGCAAAAATGCAATACCTTTTATATAGAGTTCTGTCCCTATTCAGATTAAGTCTGTCTGGGTCAATAAGAAGTACTTTTATATTTTTATCTTTTGTCCAAGTTGCTGCAGTTCAGTTTTCTGTAAACATGTCCTTGTAAAGCCATAGAAAAATATAATCTTTTCACAAAATAAACTCTGCCACTGCAAGTTTTTAAACCAAACTTGTGCTATGAAATATGCACTGAAATAACATCTGTTTTTGATAAGGCTTTTGAGTTCAAGTAAAATAGGCATTGAATGAAACTGAAATTTTCCTACAAAATTGTATTAATCTAGAAATATGGTAGTTGTAGTTTTAGTAGTTTGCAGTTAGTGTATTATCTTTGTAATTGTATTCATCCATAAAACATTGACATCAGGTTGTAGTGTGATGTCAAGGGCTAGATTTCCCTTTTGTTAAACCTAAACCTTAGTTTCTGCTATACTAGACCTTGCCAAATTACAACAAAATTTTGCCTTTTAACATGATTCTATTTGGCTGTTCACCTCTATAATATTAATATAATAAAAAATATTGGCTTATAGAATATGGAATAGGCAATAGGGCTACACACTGGCCATTCACTTTAGATTAACAGAGTCATCAATATATTCATTATTATTCAACAACTCTGTTTCGTTGTATCACTGTTGGCTGTTGTCAAAGGGGCAATAGATGCATTTGTGGACTTGGTTATTTAATAAATTTGCATAAATCTTCAAATAAAAACAGTTGGAGTATAAAGCAGCACAAAGTGAATCTGCTTAGACATGACATTTTAATATTTGATTGATGACTGGCTCCAGGCTCACACCTCAGAGTGCTCTGTTGAATAATCCACTACTCTGTCTTGGGCTGTTCACGTCCATGAGAGCTCAGGCCTGTGAAGTGCTGAGTGTTCATCCTTGAGTGTTCATCCTCACTGCTGACTGGACAAACTGCTCCTGCTCTTAGACAAACTGTGCAACAGGGATAAGTGTCATACTTAGGCAGCAGGTCACAGGCTCAAAGAGAACCACCCATAATTAACTGTAATTTCGAGTTAAAGGGGACACATTATGCAATTATGAGCTTTAACTATGTTTGAATCATAGCCTGGAGAGTGACATCACCCATAGTGTTCAGCTCCAGTCAAATGAAGCTCACTGAGGACTGCAGTGATGGGGTGAATTTGGAGAAGAGTTCCATATGAGGAATAGGGCTTGATTTGTGGACAAAATAGAGTAGTAAAAACACCAGGCTCATGTAGAGCAAGTTAATATGAACTTTTTAAGACCAAAAGAAGGAGTCTGGCAGCAGCAGTGAAAGGGGTGACATTTTTTTCAATACAAAGTTAATTGGAGCTAGAAGCACGGCCATGCTCACTTCCTATCTGGAACACAGCTAGCATTCGCACATTTTTGAATAATTCTACATGGCTCATCTGCTTGTCATGGAAATGTAAGATTAATGCCATACTGTGGAACATTGTAGGCAAAAACATACCATCTCCAAGCAGCTACTAGAGCGAACCCTAAGCCTGAAAAGTTACCTGGGAATTTTTTAAAGTGCACCTTTTCATCTTTTAACCATGTTATAGTTATATAGTTTCCCCTCACCATTTACTCACCCAATGTTGTATTTGAGTGATTTGTGCATGTTTGAGCAATCTTCATTTCTTATTTTCAAGATGCCATTTTGCCAACCAACTCTGTTTTCACCGCCATTGGTATACGGCTATTGCTTACTTCATTTTCATCATTACTTCATTTTATTTTCTTAATCTTTGTTAGGTGTACGATTCAGCAGCATCACGTAGTCATTTTGATGCAGATGATATGTGAAGTGCAGCTATCCATCGGAGGTGCTGACAACTTCATGCCTCTTTGTTGTGATGGTGTTTACAACAACTTCCGCTTCCACTGGGCACCTCCATTTTATAATGCAGAAGACAGCTTAGTTTATTCTTTTATGAAGTTGTTTTGGATTAATATTGCATTTTAAAATATCTACAAAAGCACAATAGGTCTTCTTTAAGCTTTGCACCCTTGACTTATAGGACCTTTCACAACATGCATAATTCTATCGTTAGTCCATCATTAGTGCATACAAGATGAAGAACTGTAGATACAGGCCTTTCTCAGTGTTTTACTATTTTCATCAAACACAGAGCTACAATTTTCTCTTTCAAAACAGCACGGGTCTTGCAGTTGGTTCCCATTTATTTCTACTTACTCTTGACATTTTGTTCATTAATTCAAAGCGGGGTCCTTTTTCTCTGTGCTTCGACACAAATGGCTCACTTGTTCGCATTAGCTGTGATATGTTAGCTCTACAGTTTGCCCTCATCCCGTCTCTTCCCCTTTACATGGAGTTCATTAAAGCCACGGTTGTCCTCTCACTACGCCCCTGTTCTACGGCTGTGCGGACTAAAATTAACTGCAAACTAGCTGGGAGAGGCTGCACATTAGGAGTGGAGAGATGTCTTAATGAATAGATCCAGAGTATACATATATACACTGTATCTCTTATAGATCTGTAACATTGGGAAGCTGAAGGACTTCCTCAAGTGTGTAGGTGGGAAAAGTGTATCTTAATTCCTTCTACAGTAGTGCTCAAGAACATTTTCAACACAAAAATAATATTGTTTAAAGGGCCCATATTAATCTTTTATCTGATCTATGTTACAATGTTGTTTCCTCATCTCAAACATACCTTTAGTTGTTTGGTTTTTTCACCTTCTGATGTCATGTGGCAATACAGGAAGTGCTCCACTGTGTTTTTAAACTACACACACCTTCACTAGAATCATTTGGATAATTTCAGACCTGGAATTGCCAATCTACTGAACTAAAGGTGCAAGGTAGGTGTTAACTTGAAAACTACAGCTCCATGACAACACAGGGTGGGACATAGCATTTTGAGCTTTGAAGATGTAGACAGTAATACTTACTTGAGCATGTGTGAATGAAACAAATAACAACTCCAGGTATGTTTTTGATGAGGTACATTCTAAAGTGCCCTTTATGCCATTTTAGAATGTTGTCACCTCAAGAGTCATTTTGTGTAATATAGGACCTTTAATGCCAGTTGTAATAGTAGCAAAACTCTGCTCTGGTCTCTGAAAGTTGTGGAAAGTGCAGATAATTAATTTCTATGAAAGTGTCTAGACTGGAGGAAGAAATCTTACAACTTTTTGTAAATAACACTTTACATAAATTAAAACATTAATTAAATTGATTGATTATTGTTTATGTTCAGGAAATTAATGAAAAATTAAACTAAAACTGAAAGCTCAAAGTTGGAAAAAGTTGGGAAGTTGAAAATGGTGATTGATGAGTTTGTCTTGCCATATCATCAATACTTCCAAAGTTCTTACATTAAATAAATATCTGCTAATATGCAGTATTTATGAAGTTGACTTTACATGATTATGTGAGCTGTGATTACTGACTCAACTGTCTTTATACAATTTGTTCTCATACATTAATGAACCTTATACTACTGTGTCCTTACTTTAATCCTACATTTTACTCGACACATGGTCATCACCAGCTCTTCCCACGTTATAGCATGTACTATCCTCATGTTGCGCCTGTCCGTAGTTGCACTCTTTGTTAGTCAGGCTGAGTAGGAGCTGCTAAATGTAAATGTGTTCACATGTGTTGTAATGTGTTGTCACAGTAGTACTTTGTGCTCTGACTCAGCCCTGGTCCATACTGTGAACTCGACTGATGCTACCATCTGCCCCATGTTGTTTTTGTGTGGCAGAATCCCAGGACGACTCAATGACAGGCGCACCCCACTCGGAGAACTCAACTGGATCTTTACGGCCATCACGGACACCATTGCTTGGAACGTCCTGCCCAGAGGTACAGCTGTGGACATCTTTATTCAGAGACAGTCAAAACATGCTTTAGACAAGGCCAAGAGTCAAATTTAGGGCTAGCCCCAATAAGGTTTTTCTTGATTTGATACCTTAACTACAATTTTTCAGTTATTGCAAGCTGTGCCACAATTACAGTCAGATTAATTATTTAAAAATGTCAGTACATTACAAAATTTGTTAGTGGGCACAAATGTTGTAAATACACAATACGCAAATGTTTGCCTAGTCTTTTATGTGTTACATTTTAAGACTGATATTTGTACAACCGCTTTAAGTTCACTATTCAACTAATCTAGCGTATGGTCTGTGACTTACTATGAAGATATTATTACTTTTTTTTTGTTATTGAATAAATTAAACATCTGTTTATTAACATACTGATTAACATTCCTGGCAAAGATAACATCTCCATGGAAACAAACAGATGGTGGACCTCCCAGTGTAAAATTAAATTTTAAAACATTTTTTGTTTAAATTGTATATAAAAAGACTTGTTTGTTGTGCTGGAAAGAAAACTCTAAATTAGGACACCTTATGAAAACAGAAGTGGATACTCAGCAATACTAAAACTCATAGTCTCTTTTCCCAGAGCTCTCGAATAGGGGCTAGGGTTGATGTAAAATGGCAGAAGTGCAGTAGGTGCAAGCTGCTCCTTCAGATTGAGATTAATTGTGTTTGGAAAGCGTAGCTGCTGTAATTGGGGATATAATTTTAAGCATAATATTTCAACATAAAAGCGAGACTGGGGCAAAGTCATACCCACAGGATCCACTAACCTAGATGACAACACAAATAGCTTTTTCTTTCTTCACACACAATGTAGTTTGCATGCAAGCCACAACCTAGTACTTATTATTGGTCACCTGTCGTATGCTACGCACATACACACTTACACACGCCAGCTTCCCCAGAGGTGCACTGTATCCTAGATAGAATAGCAATGTGACAATAGTGATGGCTCCCAAACTCTAGGGCTTTGCTGTTAATGAAGAAGCCTACATCTGAGAAAATTCTCATAATGAAGCAACTACACAACCAAAAGACACACACAGGCACACACAGACACTTACTAATTCTTAAAATACTGTCTAGGGCCTCGGAGTTGTCAGGAAAGTGTCGCAGAAAATATAGTCGACAGAAACTTGCATGCCAGGCAAAAGCAGCAAAGGCTCAAGGGAATACTCGGCCCCATTTTAATAAATTGCTGAAATAATAATGACATGGTGGGTGTGACAGTGACCCAAAGCTTTCATCTGACTGTCCTTTATATTCTTCAATTCAACATGCAAATCCCATCTGAATCAACAATGACAATTTGAACCAATTAAAGTTGTTTATTTAACTCATTTTGATGTTTTTGCTCCAAATTACCGTATTTTTGTGACACATTTGTTTCAGTAACTGTTGTGTTTTCAGATTTGTTCCAGAAACTCTTCCGACAGGACCTGCTCGTTGCCAGTCTGTTCAGAAACTTCCTCTTAGCCGAGAGAATAATGCGGTCGTACAACTGCACTCCAGTGAGCAGTCCCAGGCTACCTCCCACATACATGCACGCCATGTGGTAAGGCCCGCAATCACGCTGTTATGCTTCACATTCTGGTGCAATGGGCAAAAGGGTTATTCTTACATGTTCTCAGCAGAGAGGTTAGAATCGGGAACTGCCAGTATGTCGAGGATTGTTCTTGCCAAAAGTCTTGCTTATCTGTTAGATCAGTACAACTCTTCTCAGATATTCCATTCACAAATCCAATTGTCATGTTGCTGAAAAGTTCTCTGCTGCTGATATCTTTTTTTATACTTAATAACATATACTGTAGTATAGTATGACCAATGTTAAAAAAAAAATAATAATATATATATATATATATATATATATATATATATATATATATATATATATATATATATATATATAATATATAGAGAGAGATATAGATAGATAGATAGATAGATAGATAGAGATATAGAGATATAGAGATATAGAGATGGATAGATGGATAGATAGATAGATAGATAGATAGAAGTTAGTGCCTCCAAAAAGTTATATAAAAAATTGTTAAATGAAATGAAACATATTTTAAGGTTATCACCATAAAACCAGTGCTGTTATTTTTAAAATGCCCATATTATGCTGCTCTGATCTATGTTATAATTTTGTTTCCTCATCAAAAACATATTCATTCACACATGCATAATATACAGACCTTGTGATGTCATGTGGTAATACATGAAGTGCTGCACTGTGTTTTACACTCCATACACCTTCACGCTTCACATCACAAGGTGCAAGATACATAGACTAATAAAGAATTATCTAAATGTGTGAATGAAACAAAACAACTCCAGGTATGTTTCTGACAACACGATTAAAAGCTCACGAGTCAATTTTGCATAATATAGCACCATTAAAGTTCAATTCATGAATTGTCTCAATCTGTATTTTGAGCACATTTTATCAACCCTTACCAAGTTTTAATTTCTACAGCTACATTTGTACAACATCTTTGTTGGCCGCATATGTGACACTTACTGTACAGTAATTACTTTAAGCCTCTTTTTTTCCAGAGCTCTCGAATAGGGGCTAGTGTTGATTGAAAGTGGCAGAAGTGCAGTAGGTGCAAGGTGCTTCTTCAAATTGAAATTAATTGTGGAAGACTGCTTGGAAAGCTGCTGTAATTGGGGATATAATTTTAAACATAATATTTCAACATAAAAGCGAGACTGGGGCAAAGTCATACCCACAGGATCCACTAACCTAGATGACAACACAAATAGCTTTTTCTTTCTTCACACACAGTGTAGTTTGCATGCAAGCCACAACCTAACCCTGTAAAAGAAAGCAAAAAAAAATTTAATTTAATTTTAATTAATTACACTTATTCTAAAGCTGTATTGCTCCAGAGCATATGTGGGTGTGCCTGTGTACGCGGTTGCCTTTCCTCTGTATAAATTCACCTCATGATTTGTTTTCCGTTGCTGTTATGTTGACAGTTAGTCAGTGGTGGGCCTGTTTTTCCTGCTGCCTCATGTCTTGCACAGATTTAGCTTCGTCCGCTCCTGCCGTAGCCTTCATCTGGCCGCCGTGTGCACAGACAGGTGGAAGACATGTTGTATTGTGAAATAAGATGACTTTTTACCTCCCACTGGTTTTCTCTATCCACCTGTTTGAGTGAAAGCAAACCGCATTGAGACGTTTCACTGTAGGGAATATATTAAAAGACTTCTTGACAGTGTCAGACAGCACTGTATGTGATGAACATGGCAGATTTAGGTTGGAACTGAAGGCAACAAACCAATAGGAAACTTGCTGTAAAGTTGAGAGGCCTGTCAAAATAAGTTTTCACATTTTAACAGTCACATACAGTGTACAGTAGGACTGTGCTTAAATTAAGTTTTAACTGAGATTGAGATTCAATAATTTCAGTGTGTTTTTGGATTAGTTGGAGAAAGTTGACTATTTTTTGTGTTAAATCGCAATTCAAATTCTGTATTGTTGATGTACAGGACATGATTAGTATTTAATATTTAGTATTAGTATTTAATAAAACAAAATAAAATTGAATTAAAAATTGGGATTAATCAATATAATTTTTGTCATATAACCAGCCCTGTACAGCACAGCCAACATATTTATTTCCAGTTTGAAGTTATTCAAGTTTACTTAAACTTGCATGGCTTATGGCATGCATGGTGTAGTCATAGCAACACTATACTGTATTATAAACCAGAGTCCTGCCCATTAATAATTATTTTTATCTTGATGTAGTTACTTGTTTAAACAAGGTATCTCCAATTTTGATGAGGGCAAAATCAAGGCTGTTAGTTACCTCTACAGGTGGTTTGATTTCTCAAAAATACCTTAAAAAACAGCCATTCTAAGCAGGAACGCCTCTCCTCTGATCTGACCTGTAGTTACACACTGCACCTTTAAATTCCAAAAATGCTACTATAGCTTTACTGTGTTTTTCTTTCTTTGAAAACTAACTTTTTTTTAAAAATATTGTTTTATTGTTATATCACTCTAACATAATCTTACAAAATCTTGATTGTGTTTTTAATGAACAGCCCATTAAAACAATATGGCTTTTAATCTATAGTCTACAATGTTTTTCAGTAAGGGTAAAATATTAAGCTGTGGCCACTACTCCCAGCTACCTAGTGTTTTTAAATTTTCATTTGTGCAGCATAAAACCAATCCCGTCATCTCTCTTTTACTCCAAAAACACTTTACCACCTCCATCTATTGTTTCTGTTCTGCTATAAATGCCTGCTTGCTCTCTCCCACTCATTATCTGCCTCGTATTAGAAAAAACAAACTCTCCGCTGCCTGGAGGAGCAGCCTGTTGTGTAACACGCATTGCTTATTGTAAAGAATCTCTCTCTCTGCTCCTTAAGCAAGCAGCACTCTTTCTTTGTCAATGGTATTGGCCTATTATTTTATATTAAGCTATATTGCCCTATTTATTGCCAAAAAACGAGGATGTGCTTTGTTTCAATGCAGCTCTAAATAATTACAGTGATAAAAATAGACACAAGATTAAAGCAAAGCAAACAAACTTTTGGTGTGGTATTAAGCATTTAGGGATTTGGTGATTAGAGGTAGGTTATAATGAGCTGCATTTAAAGGTACACGGTGTAGTTCTACTTTTATCCACACCTCTGGCACCTGTGCATTAACTCTTATGAGGTAATCCAAATCTAATGTTTAAAACCACTTTTTGTACATTAGAAACACAAGAAAATATATCAATTGGACTCGTTTTTACTACTACTTCTACTACTTTTTAAACAATGGACTAACTTTTCTAAATTGGCATAACCCACCTCTGTGCTTGACCCATTTCACTGCCTGTTATTCAAACAGGACAGCAGAGCGCGGCGCAGCTAGTTCTAAGTCTTCATGAGTCCCTGGTGGGTAGTTTGTGAAGAGGGGGCGTGTGCGAAAGCGTGGCTGCAGAGGAGTGAGAGCGCGGGAGGCTGCAGCAGCTCTGTCCACGGGTAGTGAGAAACGAGCTGAGTCAGCCTCCAACTGCCCGCTGTCCCTTTAGCAAACACACACGCATACACACACAGAAACATACACAGAGATATACAGGCACATGCACAGACAGGTTTTGGTGATGGGTTACTCATTGCTATTGGCAGGCATTCCCAGAGTTATCTCACACAGAGCTGTATCCTGCCTCCTTCCACTGCTCTGTCGGCTTATTTCCTCACTCAAACAGTGAAAGACAGGCACAGATATATTAATATTTTGCTTTAAAGATTCCATGTATTGTTAAACTGACTTTTGTTAAAGGTTTTACCATGTTATAATGTTTTTCCTTCATCGAAAATATACCTGCAGTTGTGTTACGATTCATTTGGGCCTTAAGTTATCCTACTCCCTGCTCAAAAGTACATTAAAAAGCATGCATTTGCTCAAAAATACAGTACTTGCATCTGTACTGTAAGCAGGCTCTCCTCTCCACAGATCCTTCTTGTCTCCTTAGAGAAAGATAATGCCACACTACAAAATATTACAGCCAAAGCAATAAAATCTCTGTGGAGACAACCATATCAGAAGTTATATATTGCACCTTTAAGAAAAAAAAACAAACTATTAACTCATAACCATGACAAGTAACAATACAATATTTAATTGTTTGATCCTCATGTCATCGGCATAGTTATATTGTTAATATTAAAATTTTTGCTGTTCAAATATTTGACAGTAGTATCTCATTAATACAGTTAAATTTACATTGACAGCATATTCCTGAGTATATCCTATTCTTTAGATCTCTTATTCTGTGCCTTTTATTAGACTTACATGACAAATACCAAAGGTGGATAGTTATAACATCCCTAAAAAGCAATGAAAACCAAATATAGTTACATTCTGTGCGTCTGTTTATACCATTGGAGCTGAGAAGAGGTTGTAATACAGTTTCTCTGTTTTTATAACTCCAAAAACCAGCCCTGGAAACATAACTGTGGATATAAAGACAGTCTTATGGCAAATCTCAGTGACACGACTCTTTTTGCAGCTCAAATGTGGGATCTCACTAAACCTTATAGGACTGTTCTGAAGACAAACTTAGACACCTGCTGGGAAAAGTAGTCTGCCTCCGTCTGTAGCCTATTCCAATCTTTTAATCTTTCAATCTTTTCTTCATTTTATACTGCATATTTGTCACAGTGTGTATAATATTTTTAGTATCTGGCTTACATTAAAGGGGTATAGCATTAAATCTGTAATTGAATAAACTGCAGATTTATAAGATGATACTGTGGAAGCTTCCGGGCAAAGTAATAACATCTTTATGGAGACAAGCAGACGGCGCATCCCCAATCCCCAACCAGAAAAGTTACATAGTGTACCTTTAATTAAGATAACCATGAATATCTAGTATTTGAAACCTTGTGTATTAGAACTGAAAATTCTGTTATCACCTTGAGAGTAACATGTAATCATTTGCACATACTCAATATAAAATGCTTTTTTGGGTAGAACTTTTAAAATTCTGATACCAATTTCAATACTATGGCTTTAAGTATCAGTATATCAGTCGATACCAGTGAAGAGATTGAAAATAGATTTTATTTTTCTAAGAACAAAAAAATATTGTGTGACAATGTTTTATGTAGCTGTTATTCATCTCTCAAGTAACGATAAAGCAACTTTGCATTAAAAGCTCAAACATTATGAGACCTTCTGTACGAACTGCAACTAGTAAGTAGAATCGTTATTTTGTAGCCGATATCCGATTCAGTACTTTTTCATGGATCTGTACCAATATTCAATACCAGTATTAGTATCAGTCTGTCCCTCTTTTTTTAGACATTGTTGTAACCTGCATGTTAGCCTTGGTTAATGGAAAATACTTGTGTAACTTGGCTTTTAAAACCTTAAAAATACAAACTTCAAGTCCCATTACATGCTACAGCCTGCATCTTTATCATTACCTTTGCCCATAATAATGAAACCTTCACTGACATATTATCATGCTATCCTTTACATTTAGCATTGAGTGTATTACATCTTTTACACTATATACCAACCTCAAGTGCATTTCAGTTACTCTTATAACAGATAATGGAAGGCACTGTTGGCACAAAGGCTCAGAGTTGTGCCCCATGTCTCTCGTTTAGCCTCATATTACAGCTCACTGCCTCCACCCTTCTTAACTCACAATGCATAAAGCTCCATCAAGAAGCTCTGTATACGGTCAGAATAAGATACAGAGAGGAGAGAGTGCAGTGGAGAGGGGAATGCGTACAGGGCACAACGAATGGAGGCTCCGACATAAGGTTTGATGCGAGTTACGTAACCCCATGAATAAGATATGATGACCATGAGAGTGTGCTGGTGTTTAGAGGGGGATTAAAGGCTTCACACTGCCCTGCTCCAGACCTCAGACTGGGAGTACTGAGTGTGGTATGTGCACTATAATGAGCGAACAGAACAGAAAAAAATCTCCTAATCAAATAGGGAAAAAGTTGTTTTAAGGGGTAAGCAACATAACAGTATAAAATCAAACCAGGGTCTGACTATGTGATAGACTGCCTAGTAACTATAATGTTAACAAGGGCCAAAACCAGTCGAAGTTACAGAATAGTTAAGATTAGACCAATACAAATAAATTACCTTTATTTTGTTAAATGGTTTAAACTTCCAAAAAAACACTTTCTTGCACATAAATTGTCCCTGCAATTTTGATGGAATTTTCAGTGTTGATTACATAGAGGTAGCCTTTAGAATTCTGTATTTCTGTACTTTTTTCCACTTTTTTCACTTAACTGATGTAACTACAATAATTATTTGCTACATTTACTAGCCCATCAAAGCAAGTAATAATTAGAAAAATATGAAAACCTGTCAAAATAACAGTGCTTTAAAAAGAAAACAAAGAAGAAGAAGTAGTAAGCAGAAATAAAGAGCATCCCCTTCCCAGTGTACATTTTAGGAACAGCTGTAATCACCAACTATAAATAATGTACATATTTACCCTTGATTTTCAACTGTTATGCATTTTTTATCTTTTATGTTTTTGTAAGAAAAGCATTCAACTCTTTTTAAAACGGCTCCCTTTTCTCTAGACTAAGACTAAGATCTAAGTACCATCACAAAGCGCCTTTGAGTTACTGTGAAAAACGCTATATAAAACCGATGTATCACTATAACATTGTCTGTGTCTGTAGGCAAGCCTGGGACTTGGCTGTGGACATCTGCCTCTCTCAGCTGCCCACCATCATCGAAGAGGGGACCGCCTTCAGAGTAAGTGCTGCATTTTCAGCCCATCAGCTTTCCCTTAAACTCACTCAGGTGGAGACGCCCCCTATTGACTTTTATGAGCCATCGTCTGAGTGGGCATTTAGGAGAGCGGTTTTGGGACATCTTGTTTTTGATGGATTGCTTTTATTTTAGATGCCCGTAAAACTCAGCCTTTCTTGTTTGCACTGCAACTTGTGTCCCGCCGGCGTCTACTGTATCTCAGCTAATCGCTCAAACGCATGCTCGGCTCGCTCCCAGTGGGTAACGTTGTAAAATGTCAAGTCTAATAACTCAAGTGCGAGTGTGGAGTGAAATATGGCTGTTGAAAGCACTGGGCCTGCACTGCAAGTCACTGGTGTGTAGTGTTGTATTCACTGACATGGCAGGGGACTGAGATCGAGAAGCAGGGTGTAATAGAAACACTATGAGGGGGCTGATTGAGCTGATGATCGCGGCTCTTACTGGGTCAAGTCTAATATTGTTTTATATGAGAAAAATAGTCACATAGGCAGGGCTGTGAGGGATGATGTGAAGCACTGAGGTTATAAGAAAGTTTAGGCCTGAACTGTGGAAACTGCTTTTGGGCAAAATGTGCAAAAAATGCAAGCATAAACTAAAGTGTATTGAATTTAGGACAGTAAACGCTAAGGACAACCTGGATAAAATTTTGTGTCTGGATCCGCTTTCTGGAGGTGGCACGTCACCTACACCTCATAGAAATAGATAGTTAAAACCATACTTTGGAACATTCTCTATGGAAAAAAGATTATTTTATTTTCTATGGAAACAAGGAGATGGGCTTCCTCCAGCCCAAGTAAGGGTCAGATTTCTGCAACGAGAAAGGACATTTTTACAAACAGAGACAGAATTTTTGTATATTTTTGTGTATATCTTGTGAGTTGGATAAAAGTGTCAACCTAAGAAACCACAATTCATCCTTTTTAAAACTTTTCCATCTGAACAAGAAGTTTTCCACAGCAAGTCTGCAAGTGACACTTAAGTTTTTGCATAATTTTCCGTGTCAAAACCTGCACAATCAACAACAATGATGAAATTAGAAAGAAACAATTAGGAGAAATCAGAGCACTTACTTTTAAATGACATTTCAATAATCTGATCTCCAGAAATCAGATAATGATCAGACATTTGCTGTGCCCATTAATGTAGACAAACGACACTGTAGTTCTTGTAGTTGCGACAGACGCAGCAGAGTAATCAGAAAAGTCTTACAGTCAGCTCTCCTGATGCTGCACTTTTGTCACTTCCTCCACCTGCTGTTGTGGAGTGGACATGCTCAGACGGCTCCCTAGAGTGCAGTTTCCGTCCTCCCTCTGCCTTGTTGCGCTCTAGTCCAAAACACTTACCAGGGCCCTAATTGTGGCTCTGGGGAACACTAAAGGGGAGCTCAACGCCTTGTCTCCAGTCTGGGATCACACATTTCTAATTCTCTCTTAGATATTCCACCTTCCTCTGCTGGACATTACACCAGGCAGATCAGTGTGCTCCTGTCCGCATTGCACTGTTTGAAGATGATTATGTAACTCAAGTTAAATGGCTTTTCCTTGGGTTATAATGAAGTTGGCAACACTATGTACTTTCACTTCACTACAAGTACAGCTGCTTGTTCACATCAAGAGATCATTTATGAATTATTTATATGGAAAGTTACCCAAAATACTGGCTTGTCAATGCCAGTCACACATGTTAACTTATATCTTTGTATCTTTATTCTTGAAGATACAACATATTTTTAAATTGCATTTCAATTTTATACTGCTTCTTAAGCACAATATTTTTAGACAGGAAAACAGAACATTAGCTTTACATTATGTTTGAGATTGTATTCAGACCCAGAATGGTAAATCTTGCTCATAGAGTGCGGGTTTTCATGTTTAATTTAAAGTTGCAAAGAGTTACTTTCTACTAGAGATGTTGTTGCCTGGAATGTTCCACATTATGGCTTCAAACTTGTCCACCAGGCCATGTTATAGGTCAGATCTACAGAGAGACGCACTTGCTTGTCGTAATGTTTTTCTAGGTATTTTGGAGTAATAAAAACACTTGAACTAAACTAAACATCCCCTGTGCTTTCTCCCGTTGTTTCAAAGCCTTATCTCTAGTTATAGCTAATGCTCTTTAATTAGATGTATGCATGTATATATGTAATTAATAATGTAAATATCTAATACAGCCTTCTGTCGTGGCCTATAATTAAGGTGTTTCTCTTATAGCTTCCTCCTTACCATCTTTCCATGTTTCACCGACTTTACCGTATATAGACCTATTACAGTTTGATTATGCACAAATTAATTTAGCCATCCGACCGAGAAGCGTTGGTATTTCCTCGCTCACATCCATCACCACTTCTTACAGGTCTGTCCTAATTCCATGTGCAATATTAACACTGGCTCTGATCAAATCCTCTGCTGCCTGTGACCAATCAATCAGGCATAGTACAGAGGCAGGAGAAGAGAGGGAGAGAAAAGAAGTGAAGGAAGAGGAGGTCGGAGTAGAAACAGAGAAGAAGGTAGACAGGGGAGAGACTTGAAGAGAAAGAGAAATAGAGAGAATTGGCAATGGGGCGGTAGAAGAGAGAGAGAGAAGGAGGGGGGAAAGGGGAGAGAAAATGAGGGTAGAGCAAGAAAGAGAGATAAGGTAGAGGAGAGTAGACGGAGGGGCAACAGAGAAGGATGGAACACAGTAAAGAGAAAACAAGGAGAAAGAGGTGGCAAACAAGAATGATCAAGTAGAGATGGGAAGAAAAAAGAGAGAAAGAGGTAGATGGGAGGGGAAACTGAAGTGTATAGAAGAGGGAGATAATAAAGAGATGAAAAAGAGAATATTGAGTGGGGGGGGTATAGCGCATAGACATGATAGATTATATAGAGATGAGAGATTGAGAGGTGATTTCGATGCATCAGGATTTATGTAATTGGTTCACAGTAGTGTCACTCTGCAGCTCAGGTCTGGACTGTTGTGACATGATAGCCCAGCGACTGCTTCATTATCTGCTCTCCCGGCTGTCTGTGGCAATGTACATTATGTGAAATTATGACACAATATTGATTTTTTTTCCTCTTCTTTTTCACAGCACAGTCCATTCTTCGCAGAGCAGCTCACAGCATTTCAGGTTTGGCTGACGATGGGAGTGGAAAATAGGAACCCTCCAGAACAGCTGCCCATTGTTCTACAGGTAGAATTATTTAAGCCGTATTTGTTAGCAGTACTCGTATTGTATTGAGTTCTCAAAAATGAAGTCACATGTTCAACCACTTATTTAAATAATTAACAAATCAAGTAGTAATAGTAGGCCTGTCTTGGATGTACGGTGTTGCTGTTTAATCTGTTGTGAGATACATTGCGACAGACAGTATATCTATGAATACCATTATTGACACAAAAGTACACACAATAAACACTGAGCGACAAAATACTGTTAATTTGTTATGTATTGAACAGAAGTTGATATAGTAACTAGGTGTGGATATTAATTAGTATCAATTAGGTTGATCATGTTCCTTTACTTAGACACTTTCAAATGTACTGAATACTTATAATCCTTAATCATCTTCATAAGAGCTAAGGCTGTTAATAAAAATGTTAATAATGAGCAAGTCAAGCAATAATTTATTTTAGAAATTTGCAAAGGTTTTTTTTTTTGTTTGTTTGTTTGTTTGTTTTTTTGTTTTGCCGGTTTACTTTCCTATTTTCTGATGGCATTTGTTTCTAGTCCAGAGACGATTATTACAGCTATTACAGTACAGCAGTGGTTGATTGGTTTAAATTACTTCTTGCAGCCTTAATTGGAGCGTAGGGAGGCATGGTGGCTAAGTGAATGCCTTACAGCATGAAAGTTCTGGGTTCAATCCCTGGGTCGCCTGGGCCTTTCTGTATGGAGTTTTATGTTTCTCCCTGTGTCTGGATGGGATTCCTCCGGGCGCTCCGGTCTCCCCCATCAGCATAGGTCAATTAAATACAATCAATCAATGAACCTGCTCAGGTACTACAGGTAGAAATTCTCTCTCCTGTTAAGGTTTTTTATATTATATATATATATATATATATATATATATTATATATATATATATATATATATATATATATATATATATATATATAAAATATGTGTGTGTGTGTGTGTGTGTGTATATATGTGTGTGTATATTTGTATATATGATGTGATATCCAAATATCATGATACAATATTTATTGTGAGGCAAATATAATTGTAGATGTGACACTTTTTTGATTTTAAAATACTTTGACAAGATTTTTGCAATCTTTCAGTTATTGTTACATCACTATTAGAGCACCACCCAAGCTGCAGCACAAAGTCAGCAAAAGAACAAGCTAGTTTTCTCATATGATACTAACCACTGACCATTAAATAAAGGCTAATTACAAAGAGAAAATCTAGCAGGTTTGACATTCACGTGTTGAGTTCTAGCTTGCTCCTTCCCTCTACCTCCTGTTCTGGGCCTGTCCAGTGCTGTTGTTTCAGATCAGGCTGTGGTAGTGGACTGTGTGGAATAGTAATTTCCTGCTGACTCAGCCTCTCAGCAGCAGCACTTCTGTCAGCCACCTTTAAATACCCTGGAAAAGGCCCCGTGATTGAAACTGTGTGTGAGAACGTAGTGTAGTGAATGCAGAGGAGTGGACACGAGGCACTCTGCAAGGCTAACGCGAACTACAACATTATATAACGGTATCCAACTTCAACTGAGTTTTTTCTCTTATCCCTGTCATATGTTTGTGGGTAGTTAAATAGGACTGAGAATCACTCTCTCTCATGATTTTATACACAATACATGGCTTACAATACGATAACAACAATTTTGTCATACGTGTACAGTCTACATTATTGCACATAATGTTTACATAGTTAGTTTTTCAAATAGCCACTCAGTATGAAATATACCAATTTAGTCAAAACATGGCATAAACTAGTTTCCTTTATTTAAACAAGCAAAACAATTTTATTTAAAAAAAATGTAGAAAGTAATGTTTTAGAATAATCAAATATAGCACAAATTCTGGTAACAAAAAGACTATGAATTAGACTCCCTGTAGGTAATGTACAGATAGATTTCAAATCAGTCAGCAAAAGTTTATAAAGTGGGAATAGTAGGAAATTGTAATAGTAATGTGTACAAAAATACTCATAGATATAGGTTAACTTTTGATCAAAACATTAAGATTTACTTAATTATAATAATGAAATAATTTATATCAGACGCTCTCCCCGGGTAGGTTATAAGGGTGCACTGAGCCTCAACAAAAAACTCAAAAGCACAAAAAATCTGCTATCTTCTGATTGACGGTCAAACACAACACACTGCTCCACTCCCACATCCACGTGAAGGACATCTAGCACAAACAGAATTATTATATTCTTAGAAACCAGATTTTGAGCCAATGCATAATCTGTCTGTCTGCCAAACAAGGTACAAGCGACAGGCACTAATCTGTTTACAATACTCTTTCATAAAATCGAAATAAGCATGCATTGTTAGACATGGGGGAGCTTTTGTAGTCTTGACAACAGCTATTTCATCCAAAAGGATTAGCAGATTTTGCACAGGGATTATGCTGTCTCTAAATTGTGATGGTAGCGTAAACCTTGCACGCTCATGTAGTGAAGAAGGTGTGTGTGGAATAAGGTACCACTGTGAATCTAAAGACATATGCACCAGAGATTAAAGCTGCTTAGTCACACCTCTAAAAACAGAAATGAAAATGTTATGCCAATATGCAAGACGCAAATATAAGCACTTCTCACAGCCCTCGTTGCATTTATTTTTAACTAGGCTCTCCGTGTAATTAGGATTCCCGAGAGTGCTTACAGTTCTTGAAAATGTCTATATTTAATGTGCTAATGAGCTTCAAAAACGGCTTGAGATGAAGATGAAAATTTAGCACGTGTGTTGTTCTCAAAGGAAAATGTTGACTTTTTTTCCTGTGGGAATAACCTACACTTCGTATTCTAATTGGATAATGTTAAGCCATTGCAGTAGAAAATGTTCACTCATCCATCCTCTAATGCTACTGGAGTAACTGTCAGGAGCAGGGGCTGACCACATGGATGTGCCCAGGGATCTATCTTTAGATATTTTTGCAAATTTTATGATCAGATGGAGTATTAGTCTATTATGTGTCCAACTGTGTAGATCAAATAGAGAGTTTGACACTTTGGGCCTACCTAATACAGTGAGAAGTGCAATTAATTTATCATGAAACCCAAAAGTTTAGTCTATAACTTGGAGGGTCCACTATCTGCTTGTGTGTATGGAGATGTTATTGCTATGCCTGGATACTTATCTCCTTTGAGACCAGCAAGTTACAGGTCACCTCTGTGGCATATCCCATAAACTGTAAAGATGTATATGTTTACATTTTTTTTATATAAAAAATGTGATTCAATAAATGCAAATTAAATCATTTTAATTTTTATACTGTATTACATACATTCCAATCCCTATGGACTCAAGCATGTGGCGGACCCTCCTCCAGAAAAGTGACATAATACACCTTTTATAAATAAAACTAAATAAAATACTGTAAGGTCAAAGATCATGACTTGTATTTGGCCAAAAGCTTAATTTAAAGGAAGGAAAGACCAAGTGAGGGGAGATTTAGGAGGAAACAGGTGGCAGTCCCATCAGACCTGGCAAACCTTGTGTTTGTAGTGGGTGATAGGGTGTGTCATTTTGGCTGATCTTTAACACTGGCTTACCGCCTCTGTACCGGTTTAGCGCTACTCCCAGCATGCATTGTGTGGCTAGTATCACAGTCCTGCCAACACTTATCTCAACCACAGAAGGCTATTTTCAGCACGTGGTAAGTGGTGTAAATGTATACGTGTGGTTAATGCTACATTGAACAGACTGTAGGACAAAGCCAGTGTGAAGTGACTCTAGATGGGTTGGTGTGTGGGGGTAATAACATATGGGAAAGCCCTGGTCTATCTGAACACGTCATGCAGTATTCGCGTGACATTTACGGTTGTACAGCCAAAGGGAGGACCTGCACAGGGTTACCTCCAACTCCGATAAGAAGCGTGGGAGCACAAACGTAATTGTAAGTGACGTAAGGCAGTAGGATATGGAAGAAAAAGCCATAACAGGACTACAGGCTAAAATGCATATAATGTTGATGCTGTCAAACCCCGTTAACAAGCTGGAAGCAATAGCCTGTGTGTTTTATGCGAATTACAGTTACTCACTAAAATATCATATGTAAATGCTGGTTGTTCAAATGGTTATGTTCATGTGTGATTCATATACCATTCTAAAAGGCCTATAGAGAGTGACTGGGAGTGAGTGATTTAGTAAAATTGGCTTAAAGGTCTGGTGGGTTACGACTGGGCACTCTAGAAAAGTAATTTGCATGCAAAAAATCAGATTTAGCTCAAAACACAGTTATCTTTTAATGGATATAACATCCCTACTACAAGTACTGCATCACTCTATCTATTCTTTCTGTTCAGGGTTTAAACTTTACAGCAACATAGGTGCTCTGAAAACACTGAGCCCAACTCACTTTCATTCTAACTGAAATACTTATTTACTTGTTTTACTCATTTCCACATAACACTAGAGGCAAAGTGTCTTGCCCAAAGGCTCAATTCAAGGAACTGCACCTGTAGGTTTGTTGTTGGGATGTTTTTTTTTTGTATTTGTTTTGTTTTTACAGACCTTTAAATTCTTTAATAACATTTTTTCTCTCCCTCTCCCCCTCTTTCTCTCTCTCTCTCCCTCTCTTTCTCCCTACCTCTCTGTCCTCCCCTCTCTCTCTCTCTCCCTCTTTCTTTCCCTCCCTCTCACTCCCCCCTCTTTCTTTCTCTTTCTATATCTCTTTCTTCCCTTCCTCTCTCTCTCTCTCTCTCTCACTCCCCCCCTCTCTCTTCCTCTCTCTCTCTCCCTCTCTGCCTCCCCCTCCCCCTCCTTTCTCTAGGTGCTGTTGAGCCAGGTGCACAGGCTGCGGGCTCTGGATCTTCTCGGGAGGTTCCTGGACTTGGGGCCATGGGCTGTCAGTCTGGTGAGTCTCTCCCCTACAGATGGTTTCCAAATCAGCACATGCTTAGTCACAGTCAGTCCAATTAAACCCATTTTGATTAGAAAATACACTGTGAAATGCCTAGAGCTTTACCTGAAATTAGGATTCATTTCATTCAAGTCTTTCAGAAATAACCATTACATTTGGAAAGTCATAGCACATGTGTTTCAATTACATGCTCATATGGATAATTTTCATTTAACCAGCAGAATCAGGCAGGCAGTGAGCGCAGGTGTCTACAGTCATGCTTATCAAATGGCAAATTGTCTGTGTCCATAACACAACACAACCTGTCATGTTTCAATTTGGAGTTGGCCTTTCACAGATAAAGAATGATAATTTAGACCACACATTTTCAAATTATTTTGTTTTGTTGTGGTGCAATACATGTCAACAACATGTGAAAATAAATAAAAAATAGTATCTAATATCATACACGTATGTTATATATGCATATAATGCCTCATCTTAGTTATATTTTTATACTGTACTAAATAACTGAAGGTTTATTTGGGTGGTCCCTACCAACTCTGGATTAAAGAGATCTGAATATGTATATAGGTAATGTCAAAAATATTTATACTTATTCATCTTATCTGTTAAGTGCAGTACAGATGAGTGAGAACTTTTTATTCTCCCTTTTAATGGTTATATAAGAAACACACTATAGTATACAGTCAATACAGTTGCATCTTTTGGTATTATAAAGTTTAATGTAAAAAAGAAACACCTTTAACATGAAACATGAAACTGTAAATGTTATGTGTTAAAAATGTTATATTTCAAATATGAATGAAAACATAAAAACAATTTGGTATCCCTTTTAAAATAACTACACCTTAATTGTAAAAAACAGTTACTATACAATGTATTCTAATTGGCACTACACTATTCAAATCAACAGCCCTATATATCTTCTCATGATTTGTGTATACATTTATTTTAATGTAGTATTCATGACTTGCTCTGTGTTAGCCTCCCCCAGCAGCTGTACCCCGGTGACGTACCACTCTTTACCCTGCTCTGATGTGTGCGTTGCAGGCTTTGTCCGTGGGGATTTTCCCTTACGTGCTCAAACTGCTTCAGAGCTCAGCGAGGGAGCTCCGGCCGCTGTTGGTTTTCATTTGGGCCAAAATCCTGGCGGTGGACAGTGTAAGTTACGCAAGGCACGCACGTAGGCTTCCACATTGACGTCATTCTAGCTTTTAAGATCTTCTTGGCATTAGCAACAACACAGTGAATATATGTTCCACTGATGTTGTTTCATGTTTCCTGCTCTTAACGTTTTATGAAGTGGCAACACAATTTTAACTAATGAACAACCTTGCCAAACCTTATATATTGAGGTCATTATATGTATTATGTATAGTAGATTGTTACCTAAATATTTTCCTTGAATCAGTCTTTACCCTCATGTGCTTACTCGTGTACTAACTTATGTACATACTGTGCCTTTTTACATTGTTGTAATTTTTTCGTTTTTTTCTTTTATCTTTTGAGAATTTTAATCTCTTTTCCAGCATCACCAAAATAATGAATTAGTTCACACATATTACAGTACATGTTAGTCCCAATCCATTTGAATTTCATAAAATAAAATAAAATAAAAGATTCTAGATTTACATTGACTTCACACTTTTGGATGTTTCAGTGTTTTCTTTTCAGTGTCAGATTCATGCAAGTTTCCAAATGAATTTATTGTCATTGTACATTTGTATTGATTAAAATGTTGTGCTTCATTAAATTAAAAGGGTCAGTCTTTACCATTCCCATGTTGAAGGTCAATCGAAAAAAAAAAATAATAATAATTGTACCGGTATTAAATAAGACTTATATTGCCCTTTTTTAAATTTGGAAATCATATAAACTTAGATGAAATAAAAAGTCAAAATTTAAATATAAACTTTCAATCTCTAACAGAAATCCCTCCACAGTTTTAAATGTGTTCAATTTAATTATCAGTATTTGGTTTTCGTTCTCCCAGTCTCCTTTGTGCTCTCAGCGTTCATTCACGGTGCAAAGAAACTGCCTTTGAAGAAAGTTCTGCAGCTGTCAGGGCAACTTGGGCTCACTGCAACCTGAAAAAACATTTACCCAAAAACTGACCCCCCCCATCTCCTCTTCCCCACCCTCTCTCACACTCCCTCTCACTCTCTTCTTCTTCTTCTTCTTCACAGTCGTGTCAAGCTGATCTGGTCAAAGATAATGGACACAAGTACTTCCTGTCTGTTCTGGCGGATAATTATATGCCGGTGAGCAATTTATCTTCACAACTTCACTACTACTGGCTGACGATTACTGAAGTAAGTTAATGTATTCACTTTGAGATGTAGGTAGCATCCAAGGCACAAATTTGAGTTTTATCAAAGTTGCGTTTAGTTGGAGCAATTGTTTATTCAGATTAATGTACAGTTAATGTATTAATTGTAATTCCTTATTTAAACTTCTTTGTTTTAAGTTGTTCTTCATTCTAATTCACCAGGGACCAAGCTGAAAAGTATATTTAAAGGAACATGTCCTTAATAATATTTATCTAACCAAAAGATATGCTTCAGCTGCTAATAGCATATGATGTAGTTACATTTGTGCATTTGGCAACTTTTCAAAGACAGAAAGTTGCATGTGCGCTACCTGTGATCTGACCTGTAACTTGGCCACTTGTAGAGATAGTGAAGTTTAATTCCATACTGTACTTCTCCATGGAGGCATGCACCCTCCACTATATAACTTTTATGGTGTTCCCTCCACCATAAAAGTTATATAGTGTACCTTTAAGTATGCATGCATTATGGTAATAATTGTACCTGCAATAATGGATGTACTTAACTGGAAATATGCAGAGGAACATGTCTGAAAACAGGAGACCTCACTATATAATGTAGTCTATCAGTCTAGCCAAGCTTCTGATGTATTTGTATCTGCTTTTGTTTTCCAGGCAGAGCACCGGACCATGGCAGTCTTCATCCTCGCTGTAATTGTCAACAGCTACACCACAGGGCAGGTGAGACTTGTGTAAAGACATGTGCTGTTAAAAAAAGACCTATAGGGGGTGAACTTACCAAATTATTAATTCACTTCCTTGTCTCGTACCACATTGGAGGCTTCTGGGGCCAGGTGTCACTTTGAGAGATGACTGTATAGCCCCATGTGTATTTGTGGCAGATATTGGTTATGTCACCAACACTCACCTTTATAATCGCTGTTCTAGCCAGCAGCTCTAAGACACTTTATCACAAATAGTGTCACCTCTCCATTGTCCCCAGTTTCTGTTTTTCAGTCCCTCAAGCCTCTGATCCAATATACTGAGATGTGCCCCGTTTTGGGATGTAACTTGTCAATTCTTATAGTATACTCCTAAACCATACACACGTAGTTCCTTAACAGAGGGGTATTACACTTCTATAGGATATTAATTGTTCACCATTTTACCTTTTATCATTGTGGAAATGCTATATTTGCTGTAATAAGTTTTAGTTAGCTAATAAGTTACTCCCCCTAACTGATTCACAGTGCATTCCTCTAATGAAACTACTGCACATCACATCAGGTTTTGAAGTTGTAGTGTATTGTTTTGTATCATGCTTTTGTATATTTATGGAAATTTGCTCTGCTGTGCATGACTTGTACGCTGAGCAGACTCGTATTGCTAATCGTAAGGAGGGTTCTTATAGGGTTTGGGAGAGGTGGCAGGATCACTCAAACATGCATGCATGATGTATAAAACCACTTCAGGCATGTTTTTGATGTAGGAATAGTAGCGTGGCATATTAGAAAGCTCCAAAAAGTGTGTTTAGTATAATACCCCATCTTTAAAGAAATATACATCAAATTGTGAAAACGTCAAATAGATCAATCGATATCACTAAAGAACAGCTCTGTCTGTGATTAAAAGCAGGACTAAGTTTCAAAAACCCGAACAGCAGAACTTTAAAGAAGATAGGACTTCTGGAGGTCGCTGTGACCATTTAAACTTGTGAAAAACAAAATACAAGTTACCCTTTATGAAGTGGCATGAATTTTGAGTGTGAAATACCAAATGAAAATCAAGGTGTAAGTACTTTTGTGAATTTTCTACACGTATTTACTACAACCAGTAGAAATAACTTCGCTGGTCCAAAATGTGAATGTCGCTGTTATTGAATGTTGCTAGTTAATAGCTCTGCTTGCCTTATACCTTATTTCCAATATACCTGTAGCTTTTAATTTAATACATGTTGACATAATTTTAACTGCTTGACTCCTCTGTGAGCAAGCAGCTGTCTCCATAATTTTAAAATGTACAACTTGAAATAGACTTTGGCTGAGTAGTTTAGAAATAATGCATTTTATATGGCTTTTTAAAAGCTGATAGACTAGCAAAGGTTAATATCTACAAGTCACAGCTTAAATGAAGAAAGCAATAACTTCTTTCTTCTGTGCAGCACCTGTGGCTGTCTAGGTTGCATATCTAACTTCTTCCATACACTTGACTTACCTCCTCTGCAAACTTTCTCCCACACTCTTAAATAAATAGTCTAACTCATAAAAGCGATACATTCTCCCAGTTCAGCAGAAGCCATTCTTCTTCCATCTCCCTGTGCTGCAGCCTGACTATCTCTCCTTCTCTCTCTTTTTCTCCCCTCTCTTTAACTTTTCTATCACTCTCTATCGCCCTCCTTCCTACCGCTCCTCCCTCCACTTTTCTCTCCTTATCTCTCTCCTCCCTCTCTCTCGCTCTCTCTCTCTTCTCTCCCTGCCCCTCTCCCTCTGTCCACTCCCTCTCACCCTACCTACCTATTCTACCTACCTCTACCTCTCTCTACCTCTCTCTCTTTCTCTCTACCTCTCTCTTTCTACTCTCTCTCTCCTTTTTACCTCTCCTTACCCGCCTTCCTCTTCCTACTCACATCCCTCCCCTCTCTCTCTCTCCCTCCCTCCTTCCTATACCTTCTCTCCCTCACTCTCAGGTTTCTAAATAATAAATGCTTTCCCAACATTACGGGAGGAGCCTCTCAGCCCTCTCCACATTTCCATTATTTATCTTCTTACTTTTGAAAATGGCGCTCATTACGGCGTGATCACTCCCTCAAACATGTCACAGAGCACTGGCACCTTAATATTACTCCCCACCTCTCTCTCTGTCTCCTCTTTCTTCTTCCCTTCTCCTCCCTCTCTCTCTTGTTCTGTTCCCCTCTTTCGTACACCTGCCCTTCTCTCCCTTCCTTATGCCCTCCCTATCTCCCCCTACTTATTTCATTTTATCTTTCTTCCTCTCTTGAATTCTCTCCCTCCATCTCCTTTTCTTCCCTGTTCCCTTCTTTCTTTCACTTTCCCCTCCTTCTGTCTCAGCCTTTTACTTCTTTCTAATTAACTCTTTTCCACCCTCTCACTCTCTTTTCTCTCCAACTCTCTCTTTTTCTCTTACCCTCTTTCCCCTTACCACCCCTTCCTCTCTTTCTCTCTCTTTTTTGGATTACAGTAGGTAGGGCTGATCAAACTACTGGTTTAAATGATGAGCTCAGACAGTAGAGGGAGGTGTTGTCATGGCTGATAAAAGATATGTTCAAATGACGCCTAAATCATTATAAATCTTTCACAACAATGACAAATTAGAACTGTTGTCATAGCAATTAACAATTAAGAACAAAATATGCTCTCTTTGAAATATTGCCTATAACGTGAAGCTGAAACTCTTGAATAGAGCATTGTAATACATTTTTGACAAGTGCTCGTGATGTGACGATACCTGATGTTTCAAAATATTCCCGATGGTTTGACAATGAATACAATTACATCTTACTATCTTCTTTTACTTTTAGCTGCTGTTTTCCCTGCTCTCAGATCTGGGTGCAGTGATTTGCATATTCAATTGGTTTTTACAAGCACTTTTTGAAGCTTTGATAATATTAGAGCTGTGTTTTCTTGAAGCATTTTAACTTTGTTTATGTAAATGATTTTGTGACTTTTGATCCAAGCTTTGTAAACGCTATGGGGAAATTAGTAGAAAGTAATTGTATTCCTTCCACACTATTTTGCCTGTTTTAACCTAAAACAGGCATGTCCAAACTATGGCCCGTGGGTCAAATGCAGCCCTCAGTCAAATTTTTCTTGGCCCTCAGGCTTCCAGGTGAATTGGCCCAAATGACCAATTAAAAATATTTTTTTCACTGCAAGTTTTTTGAAAAAAAATCTTGATAAAGCTAATATTTAATATTTAGTGTGTGGTTTTAAGGATCTTGCATGAATAAAGACTGATGGCTCATTCTAACGTGTTAAACATGCACATATTTCAGTTATTCACTGTATTGAGCACCAGTCTATGGCCCTCAATCAGCCCTCTGCTTCGTCTTTGTTTAGATATGTGGCCCTTGATGAAAACAGTTTGGACACCCCTGACCTAAAACATGTAGCCTCTCTACAGATATGACTAGCAACTTTGTCAGATGGTGCCGCTTGCTTGTTTCCAGTGAGATAAATAAGTTCAATGCCATGACTAGACAGGTAAATTAGAATAAGACAATCTGCCAGTTTACCTGGTGATTTTGTGCAGTTTAACTCTTTCTGTCACTGAAGGATGGCACTTCCGCTACAAAAGGTTAGAAATAATTGATAATACACAGACAGACTTTTGATATTTGCTTCAAACTCACAAATTTATCACTAGATTTTATTACCTAGTCTCTACTGAATAAGCAATATTTTGTTCTGTCTTAAAGGCTTGATACCAGAGAGGGAAACTATAATCTAGGTGTGCATGTATTATATTCAGTTACTCTCATTTCTTTTATGAAACAACAATATTAATGCAGTCATAAACAGGGGTGAGTTCTGTGTGATGTCACGTCACCTGGCTGACACACTGACCAGTTTTTGAAACGTTTTGGTTTTTGAGCTAAGTTTTTAACATGATATCATGGGAATTTAGCCAAGTAAGAAGCACAGCTTGTACAATTTGTATTATATTTTCTGTACATCCATTTTACCCATTTCTGCATAAATATTAACAATGTGAAAAAAAACCTAAATCTGAATACCAACAAATAAAAGGTCAATGCACACATTTAAAACATTTTTGTTCAAATGTTTAATAATGCAAGTTCAAAGGGTAATGGTTAGAGGTGCTTTAGCACTGTTGATGCCTGGGCCTCTCCTCTGCTCCTTTTGGGTCGGTGGGTGGATGTGCTCCAGGAGATGCAGCTCCTCTCGTGCTGAGAAGAGTTCAGAGGACAGCTCCTGCAGCTTTCTGGACAGTTTCTCATTTTCTTTGTTGGTTAGCTCTTCACCAACGTTAATACAGGTGGTTTGAGTCTCCATTACTGGTGCTTTTTGAGCTTTCGTGGACTTTACTAGTGTTGGGAAGCCCTTGTTTGAGCAGGGCATTGTCTCACTCTATTCTAATAGATATTTTATCTCCTTGTACACACTAACTTGGTGTTCCAGCTCTTCATCTTTCATCAGGAGAGTAGCTTTGAGCTCCATCATTTATGATAATCTACATTATACATATTACTAAGCATACATATTGCTAATGTTTTTATTTATTAGGCCCGAGCGCCATGGGTGGCGTAGGGCCTATTGTTACTGTTCAGCAGTGCGAAGCACTGCGGGAAGGCGTGTGCACAGCACACGCAAAAGAGCGCGAAGCGCTCTCCCCTTTCCAAACACACACTCACACTCACATGTCAGTGACTGGTGCCCGCTGACATGGCACGGTGGCATTGCCCGTGGGCCGCGACAGCGGCCTAATTGTTATTGCTCACTCAAAATGTGCACGATGTCAAGTGCGCCCGCGAAAACAGAGCGCGAAGCGCTCTCCCCTTATCAAACACTCAGTGCCACTCAATAGTGACACTCATGGCATCCAGTAGTATAGATTGGCATTGCCCGTGGGCCGCGTCAGCGGCATAATTGTAATCCTTCACACCAAAATGTAGGGCGCACTTGTGAAGTGCGCCAAAACAGAGCGCAATGCGCTCGTCATTGATAATAGCCCACACGGGTGCGTTACTGGACACGCCCCCTTTCCACTGATATATATATGTGCCACCATAGGTGGCCCTATATTGTTATTGTTCTGGAGTTTCTTTTTAAGTTTGGGTGCCATGGGTGCGTTACTGGACGTGAGCCCTTTCCAATGATATATATAGTGCCACCGTAGGTTGTATCATCTAGACAAGTGCGACATTAAAAGTTGTTAAAAGCTTTTTTAAAGGTCAAACAGTGTTGCCGTGGCAATGGTCCAAATTTCGCGTTCGTTTTTGCGGCTCGTCACCAAACTTCGAAGAGTGATAATTCGCACAAACTTTGGCCAATTTCAGTCAAACTTTAATTGTTGATTGACACCTCGACCCTGAACAGATTCATATAAGAAAATCTCAAATGGGTGCAATAGCGCCCCCTAGGGAAATTGCATGGAAGTGCGAAAATTTACTTTGTCGTAGACATACAAAATTTGGTACACTCATTCGTGACATGGTCTCGATCAAAAAAGTCAATGACTCCCCCATGCCATTTAATTTTGTGTTGCCATGGCAACAAGCCAAACATTGGTCCTCGCCAATAGGATGCCTGACAAAAAGTTTGGCGTAACCAAACCAAATTTGGTACACAGATGCACCATGGGAATAGGAACAAAAAAGAATATTACGCGGTTGCTAGGCAACCAACAGGAAGCCCGCCATATTGGACTGATTGCGAGACTCAGCGCCGACGACCCAATTTCCTGTCCTTGTATTTGAACGAACTCGTCCGACGGCGTTAGACCCAGACTCACTAGAATCATTCTGTATCATCTAGACAAGTGGGACATTAAAAGTTGTTAAAAGCTTTTTAAAAGGTCAAACGGTGTTGCCGTGACAACAAGGCAAATTACGGGGTCGTTTTTGGGGCTCACCATCAAACTTCTACGCCTGATAATTTGCACAAACTTTGGCTGATTTCACTCAAACTTTAATCGTTGGTGGACACCCCGACCATGAATAGATTTATATAATAAAATGTAAAATGGATGCAATAGCGCCCCCTAGGGAGATTGTATGGAACAATAAAATTGTATGGAACAATAAAATTTACTTTGTCGACATACATACAGACATACAAAATTTGGTACACACATTCATGACATGGTCTTGATTAAAAAAGTCAATGAAGCCTCTATGCCATTTCCCATCGTGTTGCCATGGCAACAGGCCAAACATCTGTCCTCGTCAATAGGACACCAGGCAAAAACTTTGGTGTAGCCAAACCAAATTTGGTACACAGATGCATCATGGGAATAGGAACAAAAAAGTATATTATGACCATGCCCCCCTGCCAAACCAGAAGTCCACCATCTTGGATTAAAAAAAAATCAGCACATACAGAAATTGAGAAAAATTGTACGGTTCGGTTATGATTAGGTTAAGGTTAGGATTAGGTTAGGGGTAACGTTCGGCCTAAGGTTAGGGCTAGGGTTGGGACTAGAGTTTGGGCTAGGGTTAAATTTAGGCCTAGGGTTAGAGCTACAGTTAAGAGTTCAGGTGGGTTTCGGGGATAGGGTTAATTTAGGAGTTAGATCAAGGGGTAAGGTGCATTTGTGGGGCACGGCATGTGCAGGGCTCAGCGTGGTCGAGGTGCGGCGTGGGCGTGGCGTAGGCTCGAGCGAGGGCCGATCATCGCCGCTTGCGGCTATATTTCTATTTGTGATCTGTCAGTTGCTCATCCTATCACTGGTTTTAAAATCACTACATTTTGATAGCACTACTTCATTTTTACATCATTAGTGATGAAGGCCAAAGGGTTGTGTGTTTAGTATTTTCATATTTTCACATGCACATTATAATATTTCAAAATTTGTGAGAATTAGAGAAAGTTACTCTCTAGTCCTGTGATCCCCCTGGGGCCCTCAGAGGCACTACAGGGGTGCCCCCAAAAGTCATCCACACAACAAGCATAAAAGAAAATTGAGTTTGAAATTAACATCACGTACAGGTAATTTATTTGCTTAATTTACTACTTTAAATCAGTATTTAGCCCACAGACATTATGATATATACTGTTAAGGAAAACATGTTTTGTATTGAGTATGCATTGTTATTGGGGGGCACTGTACAATCTATGGATAAATGTGGAGGCTTCAGCTTTGCAGATTTTCAGAATGTCTGATTTAACTAAAACAAAATTAGCTGGAGACTGTGATAGTATCACAAGTAAGAATTTTAAAAATGTGTTTTTAATCTTGTCCAATTAATGCAATTCAAAAGACCTGTGAAGAACTGTGAAGAACACTGAGAAACATGTTTTTTACATTTTCTCAGTGTACTGAAAATAAAATTTAAAAATACTTTATTTTTCATTTTCATTCGATTTATCCTTTATTTAGCCTGGAAGATCCCATTTTAAAAATCATCTCATCTGTGTGATTGTGCATCCCGCAGGTTTCAAACTCAAAGTAGTTTTTACTTTGTTAAATCTTGATTGAACTTATTGATTTGCAGTAGATAGTCCCCACTTTCATGTTGTGATGTTTCTCTATCTGCCAGTTAGTGATGTTTTCTAGTTTTAAATTGGCCTTCTTTCAAACTTGAAAATAGACCTCCCGGTGTCATTATTTTTGTAATGTCATTAATAAATCAGAGTTTCTTATATTGGTGACTTTCTGATAATGATTTTTCACATTTTAAGAAAAAAAAATTGTAAAAGTTCAAAGCTGATATTTGATCAGATTGGTTGAAATAAAATGTAAACCTCAACTTTCTTCTGTTTTGTCAAATATCACAAAATTTGTTTTTAACTCTGTTTTGATTGCACATTTTTTCAGATGCACAAACTTACTTGCAAACAAATCTGTTACCACACATCATTTACTGGCCTTTACCTCTCGTCTCTTAAAGAAAATCTTGTGAAAGTAACCAAAGGATTCTACTCATAAAAAACAGTATATTATGCACAAAAGCAAACATGTTAAAGCACTCTTATAAAGGCCAATTCTGTTTTCTCCATTTCTCTGGTTGCTCAGCCCTTCATCGACCAATGCCTTTTGTTGGTTGTGAAGTTGGAAAGTGCTTGTGGGGGTTGAAAGGAGAGAGGCTCTTGCTGTTGCCTAGCTCCTAATCTCTGTGTCTGTCTCTGGGTGAGGTTTTCACGTTAGCACTGATTAACCACCTAATGAGTCTCAGCCCGACCGGGAGCTTTAGTGTTGATCTGTTGAAGATATGAAAGTGTTATTAAGGCCAACCACTGAGCTGCACTGTCTGTATTAACAAAGGATGAACATAAACACTGCAGTACAGGCTGTAGCTTTGGAAAATCATTATTGCTCTCCTTTGAACTGTGTTTCATCAACTAAGCACAACTAGTCGATTATTAAAAAATATATATTGTAATTGTTACCCGGACTAACCAGACTCTTTAACATATACGAACAGACCTTTTTAAAACAAAGATAGTGACATTATTAAATCAATATTAAAGATTATCATCAATACACTTTTATATTCTCTGTTCAGAAGCCTTCAATCAACATATTTTGACCTTTATTTTGTTAAAAATGTGAGAATCAAAATTGACAATGGAAATATTTGTTTGACTAATCAGCTAATGGAAAAAATAATCTGACTAGACAATTAATAAAATCATCGTTTCACACAAAAAGATGTAACAATTAAATGTCAATGAATCTCCAATATCCAACCACCCTAACGCCACAACGACCTGACCCTACACAACCATACAACCCACCCACAATCTTAACACATTTTTGTTGGGTATCTTTTTGCTGATGTCCTGATGAAGTAGAGAAGAGTTTGTTTTGTTTTGATATTGTAATTTTGAAACAGCCATTACTTTGTATTTGGTCATTATTTACTTGCCATCTCTTAATATATTTTTTCAGAAAATGAGCATAATAGAAGAATTACTACTCAAAACAAATGTTTGCTTTTTTAGACCTATTTATCAGACCCGGAGAGGCTGGTTTGAGAATAAATTGCTACACTTTTATATTTTCTTTCATTCCCAGCTCCTAACTTCCTTGTGTTTCTGCTTTTCCGTTCAGGAGGCCTGTCTACAGGGTAATCTCATCGCCAACTGCCTAGAGCAGCTGTCTGACCCTCACCCCCTGCTGCGTCAGTGGGTGGCCATTTGTCTGGGGCGGATCTGGCAGAACTTTGACCCGGCGAGATGGTGCGGTGTCCGGGACAGTGCCCACGAAAAGCTCTACACACTGCTGTCAGACCCCATCCCAGAGGTAAAGACCCAGGCAGCTTCGTGTTACACTAAAGGTTTGACATGAATGTATAGGGTACACACTGTAAGGCAAGGCAAGGCAAGGCAAGTTTATTTGTATAGCACAATTCGTACACAAAGTAATTCAAAGTGCTTTACAGAATAAGAAATACATTAATAAAAACAAATCAAAACATAAATAATCATGAAGATTAAAATTAAAAAAGAGAGAAGAGTGCGGAATGAAAACCTTTCAGTCATATGCACAGTTAAACAGAAATGTTTTGAGTCTGGATTTAAACAGCGTCACAGTAGAGTCTGTCTCACATGTTCAGGAAGACTGTTCCAGGTTTTAGCTGCATGAACCTGAAACGCTGACTCCCCTTGTTTAGTTCTGACTCTGGGCACCAGCAGGAGGCCGGTCTCTGAGGTCCTCAGAGTGCGAGATGGTTCATATGACACTAACATGTCACAGATGTACTTTGGTGCTCGGCCATGGAGAGACTTGTACACAAGCAGAGCTGCTTTAAAGTCTATTCTCTGAGGCACAGGAAGCCAGTGCAGAGACCTGAGCACAGGACTTATGTGCTCGTACTTCCTAGTTCGAGTAAGGACCTGAGCTGCAGCGTTCTGGATGTTCTGCAGCGTCTCACAGCTCGTTTGGAGAGACCAGTGAGCAGACCATTACAGTAGTCTAACCTACTGGAGACAAATGCATGGATAAGTTTCTCCAAGTCTGCTTTAGACAGTAAACCTTTGATTTTTGCTATGTTTTTTAGATGGTAAAAGGCTGCAGATGTTATTGATTTTATGTGACTGTTAAAGTTCAAGTCTGAGTCCATTATTACCCCTAGATTTCTTGCCTGATTTGAAGGTTTTAGAGCAAGAGACTGGAGGTGACTGCTGACACTGTCCCTTTGTTTCTGTGGACCAAACACTATGACTGTATATAGGAACAATAGTGAAATGAACTCTGCAGACAAATGTTGCTATGACTTTTTCTACCGTTGTAGTTAGGCAGTATGTTTGGTGGAGGTAAATCAGTTTCTTTTTTACAATTAAACCAGTGTACCAAGTGGGGTTGCATTAGGCTTGTCGCGAGAATATTCTTTGAAGCAAGATATATTGCTACAGAGAAATATTATGATACGCAATAATACTGAAACTACTTTTTGCTATGCATACATATACTGTATCAATTCGGGAGTCCGAGCCTGCCCTCCCCATAATGCATTAATTCGTTTGGACCACTGTCTATAGTTTGGACCCAAGTTTGCGTTCTTACCAGAAGGACCACACTAGAGTTTGGCCACCTCTTTTTAGAGGTCTTAGTCTGCTAGTGCAGATCCAAGTACAACTGATACTTTCACACCAACGAAAATTAACTGAACTACAAGCTTTTGGTTCGAATGGACCGTTTAGTGCGTATCAACTGCTGTCGGAGTAAAAGCACTCTAACACTAAGTCACACGATAAAAATTCAGCCTCAAAATATATTGTTCCATCTATCATATACTGAACGATAAGTCGATACTGTAATTATCGTGACATACCTACTAGTAGATTGCATACTGCTTGTGTGCCGTTGAGCAAGGTGTTTTACTCCTTTACCTCTGCTGGCTGTTTACAATGGTGAAAAAAGCTTAAAAATAGCTGATCAGTGACTATTTTAGTCAATTGGTTTGTGATTTTATTAAAATGTGTTTAATTTCACAGTCTGAGTTTATTCTTTTTCCAAGAATACATTGTTAAAGCAGCACTTAGTAACAATATCACTGCACACTGTCTGTGTCTAATAATACAGTTGACACTTTATTATTAAAGTTGCACTTTATTATTGCTTCACTATGTGGAAAAAGCAGTTCTGAATCTGTACACCTGCATTTGAATATCTTCTGGACTCCTTTTGTGATTTAAAAATTGTGTAATACACAATTTTACCACATATATAATAATTTCTTCATTTTCCACATTTTTGTCAACCACCAACTGAACAGCCTCATAATGTTAACTGTCTTCCTTGGTATCCTCACCATTAAAAAATAATACAGTACCCTCACTGATATAATGTTGGAATGAGTGAATGAACAGGGGCTTTACAAAATTGCTTTAGCTTTAGCTCACACTTTAGCCTACAAATAGCACAGATACATTTTTCAGCTATTTTAAAACCACATCAGAACATTTTAAAGGTACTTTGTGTAAGTTTTTACATAGGACATGCATTTATCTTGACACAGTCCCATTACATCAGCACAGTTTGGGAGAAGTGGTTGTTGTGAGGAGCAGAGGGACAGACCTGCAGAGTTTGCCCTGAGTTTCACCTCCACTCCTGTGTCCTGCTTTGACACTTTAGTTCAGAAACATGAGCAAACATAAGAAGTACATCTGTGTACAGCCTGGGCTTTCTTTTACCTCCTTCAGCCTGCTGCTCCACACGTACAGTTCAAATCAGGGTCTTACAACACATCTGTTCATGTTCAGACTAGCGCCAAAGATACCTGAGAGTTAGTAACTGTGCTGGTTGTCTTGGAAACGTTTTCTCAGCTAGCTTATGGAGCTCAAGTGCATTCATGGGTTTGAGTGTTCCTGCTATATACAACCTTTTGAGGACTTTTGTCAGAAGATTTTATATACTGTTTTTAATTGTTAATCATTATAGCAAAGGATTGCTGAAAAAAAAAAAGGAAAAAAAAGGTGTTGCCTTGTTTCTTCCAACTTTTGCAGTGAAAATAAGAGATGTCACAGTGTCCTTGCATCCTTAATTTTAAGCTTATAAAATCATAAAAGAATAAATAGCAAAATAGTAATAAGTTAAATTTATTAAATTTTACTGAACATGGCATAATTTTCTAAATTTCTACAAAAATAAATAAATAAAATTAAATGAGTCCAAATACTAAATATTAAAGGTGTATTGTGTAACTTTTCTGGTGGAGGGTCCACCTGTAATTGAATAAATGTAAGGTAGATCTGTTTAATGTCGTACTGTGGAACATTCGAAGCAGAGGAATGAAATAGTCATAGAAACAAAGATGGCAATGGGCCCCCTACCAAAAAGTTACATAGTGCACCTTTAACTTTTTTTTTTTTTTTACATGAAGTTCTTTACCTGCTGTCTGATGAAATGAATTGTTACTTGTTTTAAACTAAAGTCAGAATGAATTGTTGCCAAAAAGCCATAGTACTCAACAGATTCAGTACAGTACTAATTTGTTGCAGAGTTTAAGTGCAAAGCAAAAATCTTCCAAATTGCTGACTTTGATTAAAGATATTAGTTCATTTTTCACCCACCATGCAAATTCTTACTCACAACAACTTTAGACTTTCTTCCTACATGGCTGCAATTTTTGAGGTTGACTTATAACAAAAGTATTGCAAATAAAGTGGATACTTAATTTGCTCTCGTGCACACAGACATTCACTGTGAAACGGCATCATGTCATTTATATTCAAATCGCCATATGCTATAAATTCCTCATAACGGCTACTAATGAATATCATAATTTGAGTTTAATTATAGTCTGTCTGTTAGAACAGCACAGTTGAGATCAACCCTCTAAGCCCATCATTGCCGTATATTTGTCTGTGCCCTCGCCCCGAGTCATTAAAAAAGTCAAATAGTGATGAGTTGTTGAGAAGAGACACAATCAGCGACTAAGCAAAAAGTTTAATTGAATTTAAACAGGCGTCTTTGGGGATGCAGCCCTGATGACACTGTTGTTTTAGCTAAAGTCTGAACAACCCACACACTCAAGATACAGAAGTTACTGTAATTTTAATGACAACAAAAATGAAATAGTTTTACATTAAAAATATAAAGAACTAACTTGATGCACTTTCATAGTTTCTTTTTACCTCCTTTGCATTACCTAAACTTTAATATATAAACCCTTAAAAGAGTTGTGCTTATTTTATCTTTTTATCTTTATCTTTTTTGTTGTGTTTTCTGCCAAAAAATGTATTGTTTTGCCTGGAATATTCCACAGTATGGCATTAAACATACCTATCTTGCGTTCATTCAATTGCACCTTTAGTATTGTATTGAAAATACCTTGAAAAACATGTATTTTTGCCATGAGCATGGTCATTTTTCCACAAATCTAACCTGTAACTTGACCTGGTGGGTTCACCTGCTTCTCTTCATAGAGATATACAGGTTAAATGCCATACTATGGAACACTCAAAGTAATCACATCTCCATGGAGACAGGCAGGTGGCAGATTCTGCACCTGAAAAAGTTACCTAGTGCACCTTTAATGGTCTGAATAAAATGTAATGTACACAAACCCTTAGTCTAATTCAGACTACCCCAGAACTAAAACATCACAAATCAAAGCTATTAAGAAAAAAAAAATTAAGATTTATTTTATACAAGGTTTATTGAATCACATTATTCATATTGTTCCAAGTGTTCCTGGTAAAGTAAACCATCATTGATTTGCAAGTAAATATGCCATGTCTCTAAAACTGTAGTAAAGAAAACCAATTACAAGCTTCAAATTGAGTTAGCATTTGACTCTTAATAGTATTTTGTCTCATATATATCTACAATGTGTGTGCAGAATGCGTTCATCAAAATAATTCAACTATATCAAAGAGACATCTGTGTACCGAAGCATTGCTAAAGCGAGGTAAAGGATTAAAAACTGGTGATGTATTCTGGTCTATTCCACTGGCAACGAACGCTCCACAAATAATCATTTTTGCTCAGTAATTTTGTTCATTTTGCGCTTCCAATTCCCCACCGAAAACACAGCCAGAGACACAGCAAGTTTTGGATTAGACATTCAGCCGAGCGCTCCAAAAAGTAATAAGTTAGGCTGGCAAATAACAGCTCACCGGTGCACACTGCTGTGATAATCTCCAGCGCAATAAGATACATGGGTGAAAATTGATTGGCTTTACTATCTCATAAAACAGTCTGGATACACACTGCAAGTAAATATTTGAGTCTGCAGAGAAGGCATAAATACAGATATATATGTTTTAAAAGTGTCCAGAGATGAATGCACAGATTATAATGTAACAAAAATATGTGCTTTTGTCTTGAATTGATAAATTGTATCTGCCAAGGCATTATCTTATAACTGTTAGGACTGGTTGAGCTGAAAAAAATTATATTTGAGATTGATTCAATAGTTGGATTCTGTTACATTTCAGAGAAGACTGAAATATGAACTGTTAAACTAATAGAAGATTTCCATGCATTTCAGAACTTGTTTGTAGATGTCTAAACTGCGGGGTTAGCAGGTCTACTTGAATAATTGCATTCTTTGAGATTTGCTAAATATGATCATTCAAATTGTGATTTTTATGTGAAAATTTTTTTCTGATTGAAGACAGAGGTAATTACGGCTATAATTAGAGCAAGGACAAGTAGTACGTATGAAAAAAAAAACAAAAAACATTTGGTCAAAAAAATATGTGGGCAGTTTTTTTTTTTAATGAGAAGAACTTTGTTTTAAATGCTATTTAGAGAAACCTTGTCAGATTAAGCCTAATGTTGTGTCTCTTTGTGCCTTCAGGTGAGATGTGCGGCAGTCTTTGCCTTGGGGACGTTTGTGGGAAACTCTGCTGAGAGGACTGACCACTCCACCACCATCGACCATAACGTGGCCATGATGTTAGCCCAGCTCATCAACGACGGCAGCCCCGTGGTCCGCAAGGTCAGTGCTGCTCACAAGATCAGAAAATGAAATGCTTATTTGTTTACATATAATACAATTGTTGGGTTGTGTTAAAATAGCTTGTGGTTATGTCCTAGAAATGTATATTGTCAAAATTTCAGATGGAGGGAAAAGGACAATTTTGCTCTATGGGTGAGACAAATTTGAAAAGAACTATAAAAATGGAAAATGCTTCAGATTTATTTTATTTTTTTTTCTTTGCCCTGATTGACTTCACAAACTGATGATAATCTTGTAGCTTGATTAATTATCTAATATAATCAGTTTTTGTCACTGAAATCAAACAATAATTCCACATACTGTATTTGATTTGTACAAGTTTAATGTTTTTAGTTCATATATTAAAATTACTACTAAACTATTTATATTTTTGAACAACAAAAATGCAACACTCTTTTCTTTTAGATTTTGGATATTGCGAGGGTCAAAAGTCCTGTTGGAAATCAGAATTCATATGTGAATTATTTGAAAATGCTTTATGTTACCATCTTTTACTCTACGATATGCCACTTTTAGTTAACTACTACCAATAGAAGTGTAGAGGTCATTTCAGTCTCTATAAATTGTCAGTCTTGTAATACACAACAAAACAAATACAGGATTATTATGAAATATAAATCACAAATGACTTTATTCCAGCTGAATATAGATGCCTAGATGTAATTAAGAAGATAAAACTTGGAAGCATGAAATAGACAAGACATTAATTTGATATAAATTAGTCATGATGGTTCGACTTTATCACTGTCCTTGAAGTATCAGCATTGGAGAAACATTATCCAATAATTTGTAGCTTAAAATTAAATCATAAATGGGACTAAACTGTGCTTAAGGCAATGTTGTACTCAAAACCTATCTCCCCTCTGTTTAATATAGAGGCATTAATAATATAGGAAAGGATTTATTACTTTAGTTACATGGTGTGCAGTGATTCCTGTACATTTTCTATCGCATGAGACGATGGACCTGAAGAATTATGGTCGTCGTGGTAACTGATGGGTGTCCTGTTCATGATTAACAGGAGCTGGTGGTGGCGCTGAGTCATCTGGTCGTCCAGTATGAAAGTAACTTCTGCACAGTGGCTCTGCAGTTCATAGAAGAAGAGAAGAACTACACTGTACCATCACCAGCCAACACTGCAGGTACATTACTCTGCACACAGCACAATGATTGTGTTTTCCTGAAGCCATGTTCAAGTTTAGGCTAAAATCTATTGTTGTTTTAAATAATTTTTTGGTACTTTTTTCGTTACAAATTCACCCTTAATAAGACTTCATTAAAGGGCCCATATTACACTATTATTCATCATGTTACAATGTTGTTTCCTCATCGCAAACCTACCTGGAGTTGTGTTTTGTTTCATTCACACACACAACACGCAGACCCTGCATATTTATGTAGAGTTCCTCTATTAAACAGAAGGCACTCTGATCCACCGTGTGATTGTCATGTGGTAATACAGGAAGTGCTCCACTGTTTTTAAACTCCTTACATGCTAACTACAATCATTTGGATGATTTCAGCCCTGAAATTTCCAATCTCTACTCTGTAGACAGAGTAATACTAAAGTATTACTCAAACATGCATGAATGATACACAACTTCAGGTACGCTTTTGATGAGGTAACTAAATTCTAACGGGGCTTAAAGCTCTTAAAGCGGTTTTGAGTAATATGGGAACTTTAATTATCACTTTGTGTGCTTGTGTGTTTGTGTGTGTTCGGTTTAAGGCACATGGCATCACCCTATATAAACAAATTGTACTGTACAGAATAGGCCACCAATAATCCCATCAGTTTTGACCTAAAGTATCCTGTATCTAACCATTTAACACTGGCACACAGTTTATTAGTTATCTATTCTCATGTATTTATTTTTGCAGAGCCTGGGAACCTGACTCCAGTGAGCCCGGCCATCCCACGTCTGCGATCAGTCAACTCCTACACCAACATCCGAGCGGCAACAACAGCACGCAACCTGAACAAGAGCCTGCAGAACCTCAATCTGAACGAGGAGGGTGAGAGGAGAAATACTGAGACAGGCCAAGGGTGGACAGGGGCATAAATAAACAGACAGAGATAGAGAAGAACAGTCAAATCAAGACTAAAAAGATTTAACTGCCTCAATAAAAGGAATGAATCTAACAAAAGCCTGTAGCACATTTAACTGTGATCTTTCTCCTCGCTGGTTGTAAATGTAGCAGTCCGCAGGCTAACTTTTTCAATTTATTACTGTTAATCCTGCGAGCGACTCAGTAAATATTCATAAAATTGGTGAAAGATTGTGGACAGGATTTGTTGTAATAAGTTGGCAATTTCCCAGCTTTTCAAGTTTTGCCCAAAAACCTTGCCAAGTGAATGGAATAATAAATATAATCTGCAGTTCTAATTTGCATAATATATTAGATGAACACACGGAACACATGTTTCTGAACAGCAAACTAAAAGGTCTGAACAGCTAGATGCAGCCATGTGAGCAGAAAGCACGATCAGCACCAGGCGCTGTCCATGGTACTGAATTGGCCTTTCACTAGGTTGAAGAAATGCTAGAACTCTGCACTCATTTAAATGCATTCTTACATCAGAATAGATAAGTGAAGTATTTATAATACAAATTTATATAATAGGTGTTATTAATTTTATGTACTGTAGTTACTATGCACCACAACCGAGTCAATGTGATTCCATTTTGTGTGTGTGGGTGTTTGGGTGTGGGTGGGTGTGTGAGTGTGAGTGTGTGTGTATATAATAATTGACACATGTAGGCATGTCACAATAAGAAATGCTGAAGTGCGATGAATTTCTGAAGAAAATATAGTCAATAAATGGTAATGCTGAAACTAATTTATGTCACTGACACAATCAAGCAGAATTATCCCCAAAAACTACTTTAAATGTACAATATGGTTAGAAACATGAACTGCAATAAATAAACAGCAGAATGAAATGCTTAGTTTGTATCTATAATGAATCAAAGAATTATATCTAATCATGCAGCAGAAAAAAAGCTAAGTTCTTCACCAATAAGATAAATATTGACCCTGCCCAATGATTGTTTGATTTAACATATATTGAATGTTAAGTTGATATAGTAATTATCATGAAACCTATACACATCAGTCAGAAAGTGTACAATAGTTTGCTTTGTGATTTATTTATTTATTTTTTTCTGTGTCATAAGTGATTTCATTGACTGTAGTTTACTTACAGGTAGTGTGAATCAGATCATTATGTGTACTCTATGGTGTTTTGTTTTTTTTGACAATGGGGCATTTGTATAAACAAGTTAGTCATTGTAGTGGTAAGAGTCATCTTCACCTTAAAGGCAAAACTTCATTCAACATTTTTCATCACACAAACTGCTTATTGTAAACTGCACTGGTCACAATAGTAAGTCACACACTAGGAGGGGAAAATATCAATGCCTTTTAGCAAACTGCTCACTCTGCCTTTAAACACCCATCATGCATCTGTGCTTACCGCCACAGTATTTTCGTCATCTCCACATTTTAGCCCCAAGTCACTCTCAGGAATTCATTGTTTCAGAATGAGTCACAGTAATATCTGGCAACATGGATTTCATTGCCAGGTTTACTGCGCATTATAAGTTATGTGGAGCTAGACTTCATTTGCTTTACAGTAGTGGTCTTATTAGATTTGAGTTTGGCCATTTGCACCGGGTTTTCCTTTTTACAACTATAATAATGATCTAAATGTATTTACATAGCACTTCAGTTGCAGCCTGAGTGCCTCTGTAATCCAATAAGCACTACCTCCTTTCCTCTTGAATGCTTCCTACTCTTACTACACTTACATACTATTTTTAAAGACAGTGTTTTCTACTGTTTTAAAACCATGAAAAAAGTAGTACATTTTCATCAGTTTGCAGTGGTCCAAAGTTATTCCTCGCCTTATGCATTCCGAACATCCTAAAATTATTCACCACTATGCGAGAGCAGAGTTTTCATGCGATGGAAATGCTAACAACAACTAACAACAACAACTAACATGCTAACAGCGCACTGATTTCTTGATGATAAAGCTGACATATCTGTACTGGGGCAAGACAAATTTACCTAAAATACATGAAAAAATCTGATTTGGTATAGCCACTTTAAACTGAGAGTGAGACAGTTTTCTTTGTGTCTAGGTGGACAAGGTGCTTTCTCACCCGGAAACATCAGCACGAGCAGCAGCGCCAGTAGCACCCTTGGGAGTCCTGACAATGACGAGTACATACTGTCATTCGAGACCATAGACAAGATGAGACGGGTGTCATCCTATTCATCACTCAACTCCCTAATAGGTAAACTCAACAATACATTTTTCATTTATATCTATTGTTTTTTTTTGTTTTTGTTTTTTTTTATGGGATTTTGTGTATAACAGGAAACTGAAACCCATGGATATATTGATTCCTTACAAAACAGATGCTGATCAAATTACATGCATTTATTAAAAAGTTTCACTAATACGACTTTCACAATCTTTGTTTTCTAATATTTGTAAGAGAACAATTTATCAGCATGTATTTTAAAAATTTCCAGACTGAAAACATAATTTGCAACCTTTGATACTGGTCCTTTGAATTTTGTATACTGAAAAAAAAAAAATCTTTTTTACTACTTTTTCAGTAGTAAAATTTATTATTTTGCTTTTGTTGAGAAAACCACATTATATGGTTAAAACTTCAGTATCAGATGTTAGAACCTTTCAGCAAAATAAAAACATGAACAGATTTTCCTATAAAGTACTTTTACCCAAACAAAAGTCCCAAGTGTCTATTATTAAGTTTTTCCAAACTTAAAGAAACAATTCAGATAGCTGAATGGAGCCACTACGCAACTCTACAGCACACACACATACACACACTCCCATGAGCCTGGGGAGAAGACAGAGGACATTAAATTAACTGTAAAATGTCACAGCACCAGAGTTGAGTCCATGGGCCAGACTCAAGAGGGACCCCATCAGAGCGGGACAAGGACAAAAGGAGTCCAGGAATAGACCAGGTTGTGTTTTTGTAGTTTTTGCTGACGTGCAGTGGACAGCAGAACAGAGAGCTGATGGGACACACCATTGGAGTCAGCTCAGGCCATGAGGGTTGGATTTCTTGGTTCACAGTTAGTTTCAGCTAATTCGTACTGCCTCAAACACCTTGTCTCTCTGTTTATATTGATCTTATTGTGCCTGTCTTTGTAGTCCGTATAGAGCTTACTTGTTGCCAAAATTGGCAGCCCCATGCAAAATAATACTACACAAATGGCACCCACAGCAACTTTCAGAATAAGTTGGGTAAGATATTAGTCTGGTCACAAACTCAGACCTGTGCAATCAGGTTTCATGGGTCATGAAGAAATCTGCGACGTTTTCAGTCCTCCAATATTTTTTCCGTTTATTTTTTCCACGTAAGCACCCACATTTCATTTTATATGTTCATTTGTCAGTCACGCCTATCTGAACTCAGGGAGATGTACCGGTGACCAAGCTCACATGCTGTTAAAGTATTGGAGAAGTGTATATTCTAGGCTGGCCCAGCAATCAAAAACCATAACACTCTTGTTTTCCCTGAGGCTGTGGCAAATTTCCAGTTGGGGATTCCCTTATTATTTGGGACTTTTATTGTCATATTTTGAGTTATAAATGTCTCCTGGCAAACCTGTCATGTCCCGCTGTGCGCTGTTCTAACGTCGGGTTTGAAAATGAGTTGAAATGGAAAATCGAGTGGAAAGGCAAATTGAGCTCCTGAGAACAGTAAATGTAACTTGGCGTCAGAGCGAGTTCAGGTGTAATGAAATTTTCTTTTCAATGTGTTTTTCTTTGATTTGTTCCCCATTTCATTTCTATTGAAGGGTTGCTATGAGTGAGTGGTTTCAGCTCTGCTTCAAATTGGCCACCAGAGAAAACTAAAATGTAAATGTCTAAATTTTAACTCATAACACGTACAGCAAAAACATAATTTAGATGCATATCTCCTGACAATGAAACAGTTGAAAAATCATCTATAATCATAGTCTAGTCTATCCATGGGTTACAGAATGATGAGAATGTAGGGCTGTTGAGACAGAAAATCACAACTTAAAACAAAATAGATATTTTGAATGGGAAAGAGTCTTCAAATTGTTGCATATAACCTCATTAATGAAAATTCATTTTTATGTTCTGTATTAGGTTGAGCTAACAATAATACTCTGCCTGCTCTACCCCGCACAGGCCTTTGAAGTAAATGCATCTTTTGTTTTCCTGGCAATGAGTTTCAATAACAACTTTTATGATAATATATTGTTTTAATATTGTATTATCATATTTTTTTAGAAGTGCATACATAAATGATTTTTGCAACAGCAAATAATTTCCAACTTCATGCAGGCCTAAATGACTTTTAACATCACTGAACATCGGTACAACACCAGGACTAAACCAGAACTAATCCAGAATTTATCTTGGACTTGGACCTCGAGCTCACGGAGCAGGGTGTCCGCAAAGTGCAATCGGATGACAGCTGTGCTTAGTTCCCCAGTGCGCGGAGCTCTGTGCCAGTCCTTTTGCCTGGGGTCATCCAACGGTCTATGGGGGTGCACCTCCGGGCCCGTCCCGACACTCAGTCCTGGTTTAGTCCTAGTTTAGTTCTAGTTCAGTCCTGTTTAGTTTTCCTGGTTCAGTCCTGGGGTCAGTCTTGGTTTAGTCCACGTGTGTTGCACCTCCCCAGTGGCTCTTTGGTCTTAGTTATATACCCAATTGTGTACGACATTTTTAATGTGACAATGCATTTATCAAGATGTGTAGGGTTCAGAGGGACAAAAGTGATCACATAGCTCTGGTTGCCATGGTTATGTGTTAGTTTCTGTTGCTGTATAAACAGGCTCAAAATATTTTGACAGTTTTATGTTTTATGTGTAAGTATAGTTGCCAGCACATTAACTAATCCTAAACATTTTCCTAACCCTAGCCTTAACCAGTTCCCTCACTGTAACATAATCTTGTTCTTAAACTTAACAGTTTCCTTAGCTTTAACCCCTACCTCCCCAGTCTTTCACTGAATAGTGTTATTTGTCAGAATTGCTGTGTAAAGCAAGTTATTGAATGATTACCAAAAAGTGTCCTATTGGGTTTCAGCTTCTTGTTATATGGAGACATTGCAAGTATTACTGGCCATTCAGAAGTTAATATTCTGTTTTGAATTGTTAATTGCTATTAACAGTTGTAAAACACACTGTTCTCCGCTAACACAAATAACTTCCTATTTTAAAGTTATTACCTCTTCTACTGCCATGTGTATCGCATATATTAACATACACACCTCCGCAGAGAAATTGAGCAATATTCAAAGATGGAGACTATGACTAGATGCACACCAGTGTAAATGAACAACACTTGTATAATCCTGAGGCGTTCCTGATACATTTATGTTGGTACTCATCAAAGCCTGTTGGGATTTTGCCGCGAATGTGACTCTTGTTTTGTTTCCTCAATTTTGTTCGGGTTTGAAGTCAACTCCTGGGGCCCACATTTCATCTTGACTGAATGATGTACCAACTTGTCTTTTTGCAGCACAACAGAGCAGATACTTGTTGTTTTTATTACACCCACGCTTAAAGCAAAAGGTTAAAAATGCATGGAAATAAATACATTTGTAGTTGAAGTAGTGAATTAAAATACGGCTGGGGTCACTGCTGGACACTGGTCTGAAAGAGCATCAGTGAAGTGTTGTGTGGGAGTCAGAGCAAAGATCGGCCAGTGACTTATCGATTTATAGAAAAACTGGTCTTGACTTGTTTTCCCATTGCAAATCTTATGATGTTAGAGTAATAGCAGGAGTGTATTAAGATGAAGGGATGTCAAAGAATGATAACTGCTGTTGTTGTTGCAATACTAAAATTTCATACTCAATTTTGATACTAAGGAATAGGCTTTTTTTTTTTTTTTTTTTTTTTCAGAATAGTGGAATGTAATTTTCAACACAAAATAATAGTACTTTGTTTGTTGCCATACGGTCTTATACTAGTTCTGATATATGAGCTGTTAACTCTAATATAGGTCAAGATCATAATAATGCTATCCAGGAAAGGTCATTTTTGGTCCTGTTTATACCAGTTGTTGATGCATGCTCATATGAGTGTTTGTGATGTAGTTTTAGTATCGATTAGTATCAGATTTTTTATACTTATGAAAATTGATACTCAAACTATTGAAATTAGATACTCCTTTGACATATCATTAATAACATTACTACTACTTTTGTTTGTTTTGTTTAGTTTTTTGAATAAAATTTGAAAAGACAGATTGCAGACCAGTTTACAGTTGTGGATTTTGATGTTAATAGTGTACATTCTATTTTAAATGCTGCAAATTTCAACATTGTATGATTTGTCTTATTTAAAATCCACAATTACTTAAAGTCATTTGTAAAACTCTTTATTTTTCGTACTGTACATTTGTGACTACTCAAACTTTAATCCCCCGATAACTACCCCTTTTGTTTTCCTCCTCATAAAAAATAGACAAATCCTAGTCTGGACGAACTTCTCATCTTCTGCTTTCCAACTTTCTCTTGCATTTTTTATGTTGCATTCATTTACAGCTCCCAAAAAATGGCTTTGGTGTGTTTAAAGTATTTTATGTGGTCTACCGGAATTGAGGAGGCCATAAAACAGTGAGGGATAGACTCATTTAGGCAATAGTTAACATCTTTACTACTGCTCGTCCGTCCCAGTCAGCACACATATTTGGATGATACAAGTGTCATTTCAGGACACGGGCGCAGCGCTAGCCTCTGACGAATGGTCTCTGCCACACTCCTTCATGTGGACAGTAGAGAGGGATGGGGGAAGAGAGGGGAAGAGAGAGAGAAAGAGAAAAGTAAAGAAATTGGAGGACAGCAGAAAAACAGATGTGAAACAAGGGGTGTGGAAGAAAGCAACAAAGAGGGAGAGAGAGAAGGGAGGTATGGAGGGTGGGAGAGTGATAGTAAGCAAGAGGAAGAGAGCAAAAACAAAGGAAAGAAGAAAAAGGAAAGAGGGAGGGAGAGAGAGAAAGTAAGTAGAGACAAAGGCCCTTTAAACTAGTGTAAATAAAATATAAAATTGCAGTAGCTTAAAGTAAATAACTACATTGAGCACAATATGGATCAAGTAAGGGAGAACAAGGGAGAGAGTGAAATACATGGAAAGGGCGGTATAGAAGGAGGGCCCGCAAGAGAGAGAGATGGAGAAAGAAAGTTTGGATGGATGAAAGAGAAAAAAAGCAAAAAACAAATGAGGTGAGTGAGAGAAAGAGGAAGGGACAGAAAAAGGGGGTTCGGAGAGATTGACATAGACAGAGCAAGATGTAGAAAAAGAACAAGTAAGTATGGAGGGAGTAAAGAGATGGTAAGAGACAGAAGGAGAGAAAAAGAGTTAGAGAGCAGAGAGTGAAAAAGACAGGCAGAGATAGTGGAAGAGAGAAGAAAGGGAGGTATGGAGGAAAAGAGGCAAAGTATAGGAGAGAGAGCGAAAAAATATGAGAGAGAGAGGAAGAGAGACAGAGAGGAAGTTGTCAGAGGGGTGCGTGGGTAATTTGTGTGCTCTGTAATGTAGTGTGGCGGTTAAATGGGAGAGACACCATAACTCACATTTGTCACTGGCTGTTTACTGCGGCAGCGCGAACAAGCTAGCCACCGCCACTAATCATATCCTGCCCCTCAGGTTCCTGCCTAATCACCTCTTCTTCTCACACACTCACTCATCTTTTTATCTTTTTCTCTCAATCTGATGAAAATGCAGGTTTGAAAGCCTCTTTTCTCATTTTTGTGAACAATGACGTGAATGAGTCCGTGTTCTGTCCTGGTTTTGTACTGTAGATCCTTGTGAATAATGATGCTGCCGTGGTGTTCATTTGTTGCTGACCTATATCACAGACAGATGCAGTGTCAGGTTGATCAAGAGAGAGAGAAGAGAGAAAAGAGGAGCAGATCTTTGCCAAATATCAGACCTTTAATCCTGGTGACTAAGAATGACTTTGTATAAATTTGCTTGCCTGATCAGCCATTCCTTCTATATTCTGGTCGAATTCATAAGGGTCTGGGCTGTAGAGCATGAAAAACCTTCATCCAAACTTAGGACAGTCCAGTCACAGCTGCTAATTTGTATCACGTGTTGCTCAAATGGAGAATATATCTTATCTCAAAAATTCTCATGTCTTTCAGAACAAAATATGTAACTTCTTTTACCTGAGATAAATAAGATGTTGGTGCTTTGATTGTTGATTCTGCAGAAATCTGCTCTGTTTCTCAGTCCTCTGTATGGTTTTCCGCCTGTTTTGATGTTTGTTTGTTTTTTGTTTACCCTATTGTGTAGTATATAGGAACTACATTTCTGCTAAGCTTAGTACAGGGCAAGAAAACCATAGTATGGCTCACTGAGCAGCAGATCCATTGCAGAGATTTTCAATTGTATTTTTATGCGTACATATGGGCAATGGATTGGTAGTTGCATCAATATAATACATGTTCAAATACAGACTTGGACTCTTCTTTAAACCAGAAATACATCATTTTAACTATTGCTAAATCGAGGTTTTTGATAGATGCATTACGAAAGAAAAATGGTTTGTTCAATTTAATATTTTTCCTATAATATAATTTCAGATATTTATATATTTTTTATAACAGCTTACAAAGTCATACTTTATTCATGATTTTTCTGCCATTATTTGCCGTGTTCATTTGAGTGATTCCTGGTTGTTATTCCTGTCCACACTTCTGTTTTCACCTCAAGCACATAAAAGGTTAACAGCTCCAGGCCAGAGGAAAAGTCAGGGATATAATGTAAAACAAAAGGGGATAAGTGACTTTAGAATTCCCTTAACACCAGAGGAACAGAAACATGGACTTTTAATTTGCAATATCCTTGTAACATATTTGCAAAGATAGTCATACAGCAAAGCAAGCAGAATATATGAACCCATTATGAGAAAAAATGCTGGTCACGCTGCCATTGAGGATGAAAACATCTGCTGAATTAAACATAATAATTGTACTAGTCAGTTACAATTCTACATCTTCTTCAGTTCATAAAGTCATATTGAATGGGTTTGACTTGAATAGATGAAGTAACTATAAAACACATTTCCTAGACCGAATGCAAAGCCCCATTCAAAACAACATAAGGACAAAACAGTGCTGTTTCAGTGACAGAGACATTCACTGCTGTTACCTCCTAACAGGTCAAGGTAATATTTCGAAGAATCGCTTTGTGTCACAACATTTGTACATTTAAAAACACATCTCACCTTTGAATAAAAAGACACTGGCAGAGATGAAACCTGTGACAGAAAAACAACTGACATAAGAGCTGTAGAACTGTCTGTATGAAGGATCAGGGTAAAGGGAGTGCTGAGTTTTATTCACTTAAATGTTTGAAATAAGTTGTTTTAAAGATGCACTATGTAACTTTTCCAGTGGAGAATCTACCAGCTGGAGATGGTGTTGCTTTGCTTTGGAATGTTCCACAGTATGGCATTAAACATATCAAGCAACATTTTTGTCTCCACTATAGATAAGTTGCCATTCTGTGGACTGTTCTAGACATTCTTGAAGTTGTGGTACTGCTGACCGTTTGTTTTGAGATCTGACCAAGTATTACTGTGCATGACACTTGATGAAGGCCACATAGATTTCAGGTGATCGCCAAAGCATTATCAATTTTCATTTCAAGTGTTCCAATTTGGAGATTAGTTATACACACATGCACACAATAAACTCTTAGCATAGTTCAAAACATGCATATTTTCATCTAAACTTAATAATTGCTCTCTATATCTAACTTGCCGCACAACAGTGTATGGTCAGAAGAGTTAGTGACCTCTCACCCATGCCTGTAAGAAGTATCCCATTTATGAATTCTCAGTACTGACACACTGTTAACTGCTTCTTTATGTCTTCCAGGTGTGTCCTTCAACAGCGTCTACACACAGATATGGAGAGTTTTGCTACATTTGGCAGCAGACCCTTTCCCTGAAGTGTCCGACCTGGCCATGAGGGTTCTAAACAGCATTGCATACAAGGTATAAATACTGACTGTACTCTACGAGTCAAAAGTTTGGACACACTTTTCCACTGAATGTTTTTTCTTTTTTTTCATGACTATTTACATTGGAGATTTTCATTGAAGGCACAAGCAAATATGGAAAAACATGTTAAATATTGTCTATTCTTCAAAACCCTACACTTTACTTTGCTCACTACTTTTCTCACTTTTGGTTCTCCACTAATAAACCCTGTCAAGGAACATCTGTGAAGTGAAGACCATTTCAGGTGACTTCATCATGAAGGCCAAGGTTTTGCAGTGCTGTTATTAAAGCAAAAGGGTGCATACTTCCAGAATATTAATTTAAAATATAAAATATATTTTGAGTGATTAAAAAAATATATTCCATCTTCCTTTTTATATTTGATGTCTTCTGTATGTATAAACTACTAAACATGCAGAAAAAAATTGAATGACACTTTTGACTGGTAGTGTATAAAGCATTTTCAGTCATAAATGCATCACACTGTACTGACAGAGGGATTTCAGGAAACAGTTTTCTGCATCGCCTCACCACTCCCCATTTTGAACATCTGAATGTAATATGAGTGTTATAATTGACTTTTGGGACTGTCTATTTGCTGGTCGTATTTTGCCCTGTGCTTATGCGAAAAAGATGAGTTTCCAGTACTTGGGCCGCACCCTCCCACTGGCACTTTCTCCCTGCAGAAGCCCATTACTTCTGTGCAAATGCAATTAAGGCCCAATGAGTCCCCGCGGCTTGGCAGAGCACGAGCTGCCGTAACTTAAGGAGCCATAATAACCACCACAGTCCGTCCATGCTCCAACCGCAGGGCAAAATTTCAGGGCTTTTTTTTTTTTTTTTTGGCAACAACACTTTGTCCCATTACCTACCTTTAGAACAACAGTCTCAACAGACTTGCACCAAAGAGCATCAAAACACTAGAGTAGAGCCAATACATATCAATAGTTTTCTCCCATACTTAATTAAGTAATAATAAAAAGTGCTCTGGTAATTAATTCCTGATGTCAAAAAGAAATTATAGGAGGTCATTTAAAAGTTAAGATAGATTGCCACATGGTCATTCCCCAATTAAAGGTGCGCTATAACTTTTCTATGTCACCAGTCTGTCTCTTGGAGATGTTACTGCTTTGCCAGAAATTATCCACAGTGTTGCACTAAACCGGTGACACCACACTGCCAAGTTACACACCAGTTCTATGGAGAGGTGACCCTACTCACAGTAAGAATGTATGTTCGTCAAGGTATGTTTGAGTAATAAAAACACCTGTAAATGAATAAATGCACGAGATGTTTGTTAAAAATGTGGAACTGTCAAAGCAATATCATGTCTATGGGGACAAGCATTTGGTGTACCCTCCTCCAAGTTACACCTTTAGTTAGTACACCTTTAATTTAACTTGGCCTCTGTTTGTATTGCTGTATGTAATCATTTTAAATAATTATTACAAAAAGATGCAATTACAAAAGGAACAGTTTATATGAGAACTTACCCAGGTAAATGTAGCAGAGTAATTGTAACCGTTGTCTACCATTGTATGCGTTCAACTGGTTTACTGCAGTACAGATCTGCAGTGTTGAGTTTCTGTGAAGGAGTGCTCTCATATTCAGAGACATTACCTGCCTACAGCCAACATAAAACTACAGCGAGGTTTTCAGAAAGGCAGTGAAAAAAGAGTCTGAGAAAGGAACATTTCACTCAAGTTCTTCATTGCAACACCTCAAATACCATTGAAATCTAACAGTGCCTTTAGCTGCTGCTGAAACAGGCTATAACAGAGCACTCTGAAATTGTTATATTCATGTCAACTTTTGTTAAATGCCATTCAGTTTTTACAAGTCGTGAGTCACACCTTTCAGTAACACAGATTGGATAATGTTGTTATGATTTTGGCTCGGGTATCTAATTATTTGCACATTAGTAATCTTGGATGCAATTTAAAGAAACATAAAATGCCATATAAAAAGGTTTGATTAGTCACTTGGCATTGCAGGTTTGTCCATCCCTCTCTTTTCATGTCAGTAATACAAAAGCTACTTTTATCTGACTGTCGAATGTGCACTGTGTAACTTTGTTGAAGGAGGAGATGATATCACTTTACCTTGAAATTTCCACAGTATCTCCATGGAGACAAGCAGATAGCAACACCAAGTCAAGTTTTGTGAACAATACAAACATCTTTATGAATCATTATATAAGTTTATTACAAAGTACCAGAAAAACAAAGCATAACAGAATTATTACAAAAAATAGTGTTTATTTACAAGCGCAAACACACATCACAAGCAATTAGATAAGATTCATTGACCAGATATAATACCTTGCAGCTCAATGACATCGGCTTATAAATCTAGTGAAACTTGGCTAATTAGTTTGAATGGCACTTGCGTCATACAGGCCTCTAACACAATGCAGTCTGCATAGCCCTTTTTCAGTTTGATTCTATTCAGAGTTCACCCACGTTAACTTGAGCCTCATGCAGATACTACCTTCTCTTAATTAGGATTTTAAAATGTCAAACGTTATTGATTGGAATCAAAGTGAACAAGGTCAGCAGGTAATTAAAATGAACTCACTCTACGGATGATGAAGGCTGCATTAAAGACTTTGAACAGGCATTTTCTCAAAGGACGTAGAGCTCAGCATGAAGCCAAGACAAAATGAAGTTAGCGATTTTTCCTCACCCAATCCTGTCTCTGTGACTAATCGTAATTATGTTGTTGCGACCAGTTTTAGCCATAGAATATGAGAGGAAATTAGTTAAAACGGCTAAACACACAAAGACTACAAAAACTGCTGGAAAATAATATTAATCTCATGTTTAAAGGTGCACTATGTAACTTTTCTGATGAGCTGTTTGTCTCTATGTCTCTGCCACCTGCTTGTCTCCATGGAGCTCTTATTGCTTTGCCTGGAATATTCCATAGTATGGCATTAAACCTATCAATCTTGAAACAGAGTGTTCTTACTATAGACAGACTTTCTTCTCCAAAGATCTACGAAAGATTCTGAACAGAGCAACATATTCATGGAGCAGAAAAGTTACTTAGTGCTCTTTTAACTTTACTGAATGTTAAATCAGAAAGGTCCATTTGAAATTAGTTTTCATTGGAAGGGTATAATATACTTGAGGTTAGAGCTATAGAAATGTACTGTATTTTTATGGATGTAGTGACATGAAGTAAGTTTTACTTAACAATCCAAGTTTCCACTGAGAAATATTAGCCAGATCATTTCCCCCAAAAGAACCTCCCATATAATTAATTGCTTGCTAACTTATTTAAGAAAATTAGCAGTTACCATTATTTTAGAGCTCTGAATTATAACACCAATTTTACCTAGAAATTACAGTTCTTTTCTTGGCTTTACAGTCTGCTTTCCTTTTCACAGTTTCAACACATACCTCTTTTGCCATTTTATGTTATGTTTAATAATTGACTAGTACAAAATCTTTGGTTTTCACTGATGCTTTTATACAATTAAACATTTAAGAAGTTAACAAAGTTGTGTTTTGGTCTCAGCATGAAGCACAGCAGTTTGGAGAAGCCATTACATCCGTTTCACACAGATTTTTAGCACGCGATTTCGTAAAAAAGAGAGCCCACACTGGGTTAGCCTAATGTTTGTTTACCACATGTTGATGAGCTGCAACTGTTGCTGAATTATCTATGAAAAGTTTGAAAAATTGTCACTTTGGCTGGCCCTCCTTCTATAAACATCTGCTGTAATGTATTCTGCCAACTAAGGGTTAAAGTTTTCCAAAGCCTTTAGGGAAACTTGTGGACTAGTCATTACAAGCAAAAAATCCATACTTTTATATTAGGTTTAGTTGTTTTTTATGTTGTCCAGTCTGCAGTTTCTTTGTGCAACTAAAACATATTTTACTTTTGGCATTTATTTTACTATGACAGTAAAGCTGCTTTCTAGACTGCTTTTATTGCATTGGATCATTTTGTTTAGGATGTCCTCCCTGAAGTAGAATCCAACAAAAAGAGACAGTACTCGCTGGTGACCTCTAGTTGTCATACGACTTTGTATTTACTATGGAGGACAATTTTCCTTTAAGGCAGTAAACTTTCACCTTTTGGGATATTGTAGTATTGAAAATTCATGGTCTCCTTTGGTCACCTTCTCAAGCATTAATTCCAATGGTAGCCATATTAGAATGATCTTGCATGTTAAGATTAATTACAACTTTAGGGCTGTACTTTATTAATTTTTAATTTATTCTTTATTATGATTTAGTCTTTTTCATGCGTATTATATAGTCCCTGTCCCGCTTGCTTCTCATTTTACCCAATATATAAGAAAATTACACCCACTTACGTGCTTGCAAAGTCCTTAAACGTTATCTTGAATCTTAATTTCAAAGTTTAGATTTATACATTCTCGCACAAGTTTTGTAAACAAACTTTTCTCTGTGTTACCTCTTAGCCTTGAGACACAAACAAGGAAAAACTGGCACAATTTAGTAATTAGCATAGTAATCAATTCAAGGTAGTAAAATGTGTTTTGTGTGTTAAGTGGTCTACGCCGAGGAGCTTCTGTACCTGACTTTAGTAAACAACAGCCCTGCTATTCATCTCAGATCCTTTGCTTCTATTGTCTTTATTAGGTTTACCCCTCCCTCGTGAGCACCATTAGACATTCCACAATGAAGAGGTTATATTACCTCTTCTGTGTAATGAGATGCGCTTCTGCAAATTCAGGGGAACTTTGTAAAGAATAGCTCATCCTATGCAATTCTCTTCTTTTATTAGGTAGGACCTGTCATTGAGTCCATGCTATTGTAGATACACACTAATAAGTTTTACCGTTATGACCACCTACATAGTGTTATTATTTAGCGCTGCAAAATTATTTAAAATCGCAATTTTGATGGACACAATTGGCAAAAAAGGGTTGCCGTTTGTGACATACTCTAATTTCACAAACAGCAAAATATCCTGTCTCCAAAAAATTCCCAAAACAAACATTGAATTCTTGTATTAGATTGTCAATTCATAATTTCAGTCTTTATGTCACTTCTGAACACATCGTGAACAGAATTCTATTGTCAAAACATAAATTGAGAAACTAATCACAATTGCAATGCTTGTCAGAAAAATCTCAGTTTGATATTTTTGAACTCTAAGGAGAAAAACTGTAAGGTGCCTCTGTTGTTTTTACCAGCGGTGTAGTGGTTTAAAGGTCCTATATTACACAAAACTGACTCTTGTGCCATGTTGTTACCTCATCTAAAACATACCTGAAGTTGTTTTGGTTCATTCACACATTTGACTAATCCTTTTTTATTAGTACGTTTACCTCTCCAAAGCTTAAAATACTCTGTTCCAACTTGATGTCATGTATTTGTAGTTAGTAGCTACCGTTTACCTTTTATTTGGTATAGATTGGCAATTCCGGAAAATTATCCAAATGACTCTAGTGAAGGTGTATGGAGTCTAACAATACACTGGAGCCCTCCCTGTATTACCACATGACATCACAAGGTAGAACAGAGTGTTTTCCATTTGAAATAAGAACACATCCTAAATTTTCAGGGTTTGTGTTAAACATGTGTGAATAAAACAACATAATTCCAGGTATGTTTTTGATGAGGAAACAACAAAACGCTTATCTTACTTATCACAAAATACTTATACTGTATTATAGAAAATACTGTAGTATGGGACCTTTAAAGTGTTGCATACATGATTGTTACCACATCAGCGTCATGAGTTTTCCCTCCCAACCACAACCAAAACTGTAATTTGAATTTTATGCTATATTCCCTACTGCAAGTTAAAGCTAAAACTTACTGTGCATAATGTATTCCACCTTCACACCTCCAAAGACTAAAATGAAGTTTTAATTTCACTTGTCAGATGCCATTAACACTAACAGTATCATCAATTGTCTCACAGGCCACAATGAACGCCCGGCCACAGCGAATCCTCGACTCCTCGATCTCACTCTCCGCCCCGGCGAGTCCCACCAGCAAAGGCACCCACATCCATCCTGCCGGGTGAGAGACGACACCCCACACAACAGGGCCCCCCACACAATACAAACAGACCAGAAGAATGAGCATGAGTCAGCCTGTAGCAAAATGTAACACACAAAGTGATAAAAGGATTAGTAGTCGTGAATGTGCTAGAACTGCTAGGGGATCCAATTTCAGATTAATATCCAGTAATTGAGTGTCTTACTTTAGTTTCAAGTAATGAGTGTATATTGACTTTTCTCTTAAACTTTTGTTCATGTAGTTTAGCAAGAAAGTTTTGTTGCTATTGAATTATATAAGGATATATAATTTCTTTCCTGATATAATTCTTTCTTTGTTTTTTGTTTTTTTGTAAGTTTTAATATCCGCTGCCTATGCAAATGATATCTACTTCCAATCGGACAAAATAAAAAACAAATTAAAAACAGAAACAAATACCAAATTTACAATGATTTGAGTATTTATAGCTGAGTCAATTCTTAAAATATTGACTGTTCACCTCTCTTAGTATACTACTTGTACTGTATTTATACTTATACTGTATACTACTTATACTGTATTTCTCAAGTGAGATGTTTGGATTAATATGGTTTACATGCACAAACATACTTGGAGTTGTGTTTTGTTTCATTGACACATGTCTGAGTAATCCTGGTTTATTAGTCTACATACCCAAAACTCAAAGGTCTGTTCCACCTTGTGATGTCATGAATGATGGTAGTGAAGGTGAATGGAGTTTAAAAACACAGTTGAGCACTTCCACGTGACATCACAAGGTGGAACAGAAGGTTTTTCATTTGAGAGAAGGACTCAGCCTAAATATGTATGTATGAGTTTTTGTGTTTAACATGTGTGAATGAAACAAAACACAGCTTCGGGTTTTTGTTTGTTTTTGATAAGGCAAGGCAAGGCAAGTTTATTTGTATAGCACAATTCGTACACGAAGTAATTCACAGTGCTTTACAGAATAAGAAATACATTAAAATCATAATAAAAACAAATCAAAACATAAATAATCATGAAGATTAAAATTAAAAAAGAGAGACATAAACTGGAGAGAAGAGTGCGGAATGAAAACCTTTCAGTTATATGCACAGTTAAACAGAAATGTTTTGAGCCTGGATTTAAACAGCGATAAGGAAACAACATTACAGAAAATAGCGTAATATGAGCCCTTTAATTGTGTTCATGTTTGTCACAAATACATTTTACGGTTTAGATTTGTTTTTTGTAATATATAATTGTATAAGTGTAAGTGTAAAAATCTGCTATAGTAAAATCTTGAATTCCCAGATATGACAGAAACGCAATATATTAATGAATGTATGCCCTCTCCAGTGGCTCTCCACCCACGCCCAGCGGCAGCAGCTCGAGTCTGACCAATGAAGTCCCAAAGCCTCCGCCCCGAGAGCAGCCGGCCTCCAGACCCCCCTACACCCCGACTCTGGGGGGACAGGCCCAGCCGCACTCACATCAGTTCCCCCGCACTCGCAAAATGTTCGACAAGGGGCCCGAGCAGGTAACTGGCTCAGGATTTGTGGATGGTTGTATTGTTGTCCTGTGTGTTTACTGCCGGTATGAGATGTAATAATTTCCCATGGGGGTTACTGAGGTATTCTGATGGCTATGGTTACCTACAGTGTACCATTGCACGATTCCTTGTATGATTCCATGGCCACTTCTTAAAATTTTACAGTACCTTATTCATTTTTTTTATTTATTTGCTAAAAAGTTTTGCAGTGGGGCTTTATTAGTGAAACATAGACTACACAATGCCTAAACTGTGAAAGAATAGAAAGAATACACAATGACTAAACCACAACTAAAGATCAAATCAAATCAGAGTAGTAATTATAGAGCACTGATTTTACAGAAAACATTCTTGAAGGGCCCATATAAGGGCTGCTGTTTTCTAATCTATGTTATAATGTTGTTTTCTCATCAAAAAGATTCCGAAAGTTGTGTTTTGTTTTATTCACATGTTTGAGTAACCTTTTTTTATTTGTGTTTCTATATCTTCAAAGCACAAAATGCTCTGTTCCTCCTTGTGATGTCATGTGGTAATGCAGAAAGTACAACGATGTTAATTTGAAAACTACCACTACATAACATCAAAGGTGAAACTGAGCATTTTGAGTTTTGGAGATGTAGACAGACTAATTAAAAGGGTTATTCAAACATGTGTGACTAAAACAAAACACAACTCCAGGGATATTTTTGGGGAGGTAACAACATTATAACATCACTGAAAGCTCACAAGAGCCAATTTTGCATAACATAGGCCCTTTAACCGGTCTAATTTTTTTAATATTTATATTATTTTATTACTATTTCTAATTTGACATGTGGTAGGACTTTGAAGCACTTGGTAGCATTAGGTTAGTTTCTTGATGTTTGCTGTTTAGGGCACAGAAGATGGGGATGATCCTGGTGGACACAGGAACTACATTTGCCCCGCACTTCAAACCGGCCTGTGTGATTGGAGCGCCAAGTATTTTGCTCAGCCTGTCATGAAGGTAATGCACTTTTTGTTGCATGATCATTTTGGGAAAGCATTCAATTCCCATTTTAGTCTGATTTTAGTATGATTTAGTTTTTCATAAAATGCCTTACTGAAATAAAACTTCTAAACTATATACTGACTTTCTACATTTACCTTGCTGTCCTAAAAACAAAAAAAAAAGTTTATCATTATGAAAATCGCCATTATAAACCTCTCCAAAGTATACACCTTATTTAGCAGCAGTTGCTAGGAAACACTGAAGTACTTTTTAACTGTTATTCTTTCAGTTAAGTATAAATATTTATGTGAACTCTGCCACCGCTGTGCATTTGTCAGCCATTTTTCTGTGACTTTAGGGTGACTCAGCCCTATGAGGACATGAACCCCTATTTTTTTTCTAAAGTAATAGACTCCTATAGAAAACTTCAGGCAGTCAGGAGATGCTTGCTGTGAGAACAAGATGACTCTGTTAAATAATTGAAACTTGTGAGAGCCATAACTTCATTCCCCCCTGGGTAAAATTACTGAAAAATAAAGCTGCTTTTACATTGCACAGTAGGGGGCACTGATCTGTTTTATTAAATGTAGTTGCTTGAACAAATGCAATTTTTTGTAAGAGTTTTAGCAACATTTTTCTCACTACTATTCATGGGATACACAACTATTTCAGACTGTTTTTGAACTGTTTTATACTGCCCCTTTAGTCCCTATTCATATATGGTTTTACATTGCCTTGAATGTTGAAAAGTATGAAAGTATGACATTAAACTTATCTATGCTCTCCCCAATTTCCTCTCAAATGTATTATGTTAACAGTACATATCATAATGTCTATGGGCTTAATATTGATTTAAAGTAGTAAATTAAGCAAATAAATTATGTAAAATTAATTTCAAACTAAATTTTTTTTAACGCTTGTGTGGACTTGGCTTGGACGTGGCTTGGAGGACCCCTGTAGTGCATCTGAGGCCACCCAGGGGGTCCCAGACATCACTTTAAGATCATTGGACTAAATTCTAAATATTAGTATGTGCATGTGAAAATATGACTGCACTAACCAACACGCAACCCTTTGGATTTCATCACCAATGATGTAAAAATGAAGTAGTGTCAGTTACCAAAAACAATATAATGTGAGCAAATGACAAATCACAAATAGAACAATAAATAGAAACATTATCAATATTTATGCTTAGTAATATGTATACTGTACACACATACAACACATATATTTTCAGCACAGATAAATGTAGATGATCATAAATGCTTACCTAGCCCTTAAGTAGTAGTAATAGTGATGCATTTTTGTGTTTGATGTGAAATTGATTAAAAATAAGTCAATAATATAACTGCATTGATTTATTAATAGTTAGTTGAATAGTTCATTTCTAACGGTGCTTATTTTTTGCCATTCTGTAAACAGCATGGAAAAAAATTCTTGATCACCATGGAGATGTCACATTCTATAAGTAAAATACATTTATGTTCTGTTTTAAAGAAACAAGTTTTGGTTCATAACTTCTCAGTATATTGGTAAAATCTCACACATACATGGATAGCTCGACTACTTTCTCAACAAAGCCCTGGCACTTTTGTACATCAGAGGACGACGCCCATCTCTACGATGAGGACTTCGACCTGGATGCTCTACTTTACCCCACACCAACAGGGGGCGTTCAGGAGCCACAGGAGATACAACCAAGAGCTTGCCAACTCTAAAATAGTCACTAACAAAACATCAAAAAGATCAATGAAAAAGACTTGGAGTTGAAAGAGGTGAAAGCTACTCTCCTGAAGAAATAGAAAGTGCTGGAAAACCATGTTTGTGTGTACAAGGAGATAAATATCTCTATAACAATCCACATAAGAGACAATGTTCAAACATGAGCTGACCAACACCAGTAAAGTCCTTGAGAAGCTCAAAGAAACTTCAAGCACCTGTAATGGACACT